CCTGCCTCAAGCAGTGTTCCAGGCCGCCTGAGCGTCCATGACAGCTCAGACTGCCCGCAGCAGCGGCACTGGGAGCACCTCTACGCACATGAGGCGAGGCGACACCAGGAGCAGCAGCAGCAGCAGCAGCAGCAGCAGCAGCAACAGCAGCAGCAAGAGGGGCAACAGGATCGGCAGCAGAAGCGACCGGCCAGCCGTTTGTGGCATAGCGTGGCGAAGAAACGATGCTTTGCATGGAACACAGAGCGCAACTCTCTCCCTCTGCACTTGACGACCTACTGGCGTGACGCTGCTGCGGCTGACATTGCTGTAGCCCCTGGTGGTGCTACTACTGCTGTTACTACTACTGCTGCCAATGCTGCGGCTCCTACTGCCGCTACTCCTGCAGCCGCGCATTTTATGGTTTCTAAGAGTGCTGCTGCTGCAGGAGCTGCTGGTGACTCTGCTGGTGACGCTGCTGGTCCCAAGGATCCGTGCAACCCCCTCGTGCTGCAGAAAGTCCATCATTACGGCCACCATCATCTGCATGACAAGGCGCCTGTGAAGGCCCGTGCAGCTGAAGAAGGAACCAACGCTACCACCGCAACCGGCGCTACCAGCACGACCAGCGCGGCCTGCGATGGGCCTGGGAGTGCTGCCTGCCGCGCGGCCAGCAATGGATCCGCCAGCGACTTGGACAGTGATGAGTGCATCCCCTGGTGCAGTGATGGGGCGTCTCAAAGCCCCTCCTCTCACCTCCGGGGTGCTGAGAGTGCGGCACATGAAGCTGGCTGTGCCACATGGCAGCCTGAGGCGGCCATTCAGGGCCTGCAGCACGCTGCTGTCTTCCCTTGCAGCTTTGGCCCCGAGGCGGGTGGTGATAACTCCATTCCCCCCTCTATGAACACTCACACCCCGTTTCCGCATGTGCCGGTTTCACATGGTCCTGCAGTCGTCCCTCTGCCATTGGAACATCCTGCACACGCCTACCGTGTCCCATCCTTTGCCGGCCTTTTAAATTCCATATCGCCTGCCCTGCAACTCCACCATCGGGTTGTCTCGGCCCCTGCCGAGTCTGCTGTCTGCTCTTCTTGCAACCACTCGGTTTCTCCATGCCGTCTTGTGAAGGAAAAGCTGCTGCCTTCTGAGACTCGTGCTCAGCAACAGGAGGAGGAGAATAGTGGCGCATGCAACGTGTCTTTGGTTGATTCTTCTGGAAAGACCTGTGTGTTGGATAGTCCTTCCATGGGCTCCCGTTGTTCACAGCAGCAGCAGCAGGAGAGGTGGGGGAGGAGAGTGCAAGACCTGGGCGCACCAGGAGATGAGTTGCCAGGCTTGCATGATGGGCAGTGGCAATTTGCTACAGGGCCTCGCAATAGCCCTGTGTCAGGCAATCCAACAGAGGGTTCTGAGGATGATGGGGACCTTGAGGAGCTACAGGACACCGCATCGTCTTGAAGATTCCATATACTGAAGTGGTAAAATGTCGTGCAGATACATCTTGCTGAACTGCACTACAAGAGTGAGCAAGCAAATATTGCTCTGCAAGGGGCATGAACCATTGGCGAGTGCTGCTAGACTCACTCCGAGGCTTTCGTCACTGGTTTGGTAATTAGGTGGAAGCTCCAAAACCCCAGTCTAGCTAGGGTCCCTCTCTGTATCCTGACCAGGCGCTAGTTTTATGCTTGTGCTTTGCAACCTCATCTTCGAAATTTGTCAGTACGGTATGTGCACTTGTCTATTACCGCTAACAAGTGCAGTGCGTGAAGGGGGTGAAGACACCTCCAAAGAAAACAAGCAAAACCATTATCCCTGAATTTTTCTTTCCGTGATAAGCAGAAATGCCAATGCCTGAGTTTGTTATGCACCCTAGAATGGGACAAATTAATGTGTGGTTTGTTATTCCCCAAAATGTTTATATCTGCATTGTAGGCATGAAAAGGATGGTGATTCCCTCATCTGCTCTGTTTCTCTCGGACAGTCTTACAGCCCTCAAAGTTCCCTTTACATTCACAAATTAAGCGGACAGACGACCTGAAAAGCACCCTGCTTATAGAGATGATGTTTTGAGGACGAAAGCTGACGGTTCATTTCCCCCCCGCCAAACTCCCACCCACCCAGCCCAACCGTTCTTCTGGGCTGTCCTCATATCACGCCAAAACAACCTACAGGCAAGGTGCATGGATGGGATGGATGGCAAGATATTGGGGCCGCGGTCTATGGTTGTGATTGATGCTTCGAGTCGTTTAGGATTTTAGCTAGGGTTATTTCGTTTCCATCACAAACGTAGACCGCGGTTCCTAAAACCGACTCGAACAAGTATTTGCGTGGTGTGCGAATCTGTAGAGAAGCAGAAACTAATATAGTCCCTGAATTTCGAGTGTATCAGTAATTAGTTCTCATAAAGTTAACCCTGTTAGGGAAATCGAAAGTTTCTGGGGATCTGGTCGGAGTTGCTGGAGCAGAGGGGTGCAGGAGATGATTTGCTTTCTGTTCATCTTTCTATGTTCATTCACCAACTCGACTGGATCCATTGTTACTGCATTCAGCCCAACACATCTCAAATTTTACCGTATTTTCGTGATAGCCATTAGCACGCTAATTAGCGCTGTCACTGCCTCACCAAGCTAACACCGCCTCGGCCGCATCTTGCACGCAACGCGGCACACGGTTTCCAACCATTGGATGGTTCGCGGGTGTAGTAAACAAGCCGGAGGCGAATCACGGGTGACTCTCGAGAGTAAGAAAAATATCGACAGCTGCGCGAGCTGTGTTAGTTCAACACAGCGCGCGAGTTGCGGATTAGCGAGGCTGTTTGGACCAAGTAGATCTATCGTTTTTAGACTGAGTCGAACTCGGGTCCAGGTGACAGCACGGACCACAGGTTTAGCTTGTCCGTCCCTCCCGCTGTCGCAGTCCGACGTCAGACACATCGAGTCGAGTCGTTACTTTTTTGCGCTGCACACGTGGCAGCTTAGGAAATCCTGAACATCAGCAGTTGAAACCCAATCATCGCAATAGATGATTCAGTGCGTGGCAGCGGCGTCTAGCTGTTTCTGTCTGTCCAATCACCCGTCTGAGTCCCAGCCATCTCTGCGTGACAGCGAATTGGAGGGGCAGTGGGCCGTTGTGTGGAGTGCATGTCACCAACCTGACTGAAAGACGTCACTTCGGTAGTGTAGTAACCGCTTTGTCCGCACAGACGTGCTGCCCTTTCTTGCTGAGCATCATGATCAACAAATACTGTACCCTGTACACTGATCCGAACCAATCCATGGCTCTCGAGGATGCTCTCCTCAGGAATTTTGACAATCCATGGCTTTAGAGATTCCCTTTCCAACCAGGGCCGCCACAGAAAGATGCTTTAGGTTCATCCTTGGTTTGAGATGCTTCACTCCCGCTACCCTGTGACTCCTAGTAACACCACTTACTGAGGAAGTACTCTATTTTCCCATCGGGGTGTCAGATTCTCTCTCCCCCACTCGACGACATCCTTTTCAAGGGCTGCGTGTCTGTTCGTTTCGTGTACCGTTTCGGGCAGAACATCTCGACGATTTAGCTGGGTGTTGGTCTTTCTCCTTCCTCCCCCGTATGTCTCAGCAACGAGTTGGCAGCAGTCGTAGCTAGCCGCCCTGTCATGCCTTGTCAAGTCTGTCTGTTTGAGAGAGGAAAAAGACAGAGATCGACCTCAGCTTGTGGGGAGCGACGCGTTTCTAGAAGCTTCGTTGCTTGGCGGCTGAACTACTGACGACTGACGACTGACTACTACGACTGAATAAAGACGAAGGACGACGTACAAGTTGACGAGTGCCACGCGTGAAGGACGGGCGAGTTGGAGGACTGCCAAGGCGGCAACTACTACTGCGTTTGCCTCAACTCAACTCTGCGAATCTTTTGTGAGGCCAAGTTGCATACGGTTGGACACAGCATACGGTTGCTCGGTTTACAGTACCAAGCAGTGGTGTGAGCTTCTCTCAAGTCCAGACCTCCCATGCATGATCAAGTGGAGAGGCGGGAGGAAGAGGTTGTGGAGGGGGGGGAGAGGGGAAATGGTGGCACAGTCGCACGCGGAGAAGAGCATTTCGTTGGCGAAAACCACTCCTGTTCGTGAAAAACACTCTCCTGTTCGCAAGCGAGTCTTCGTTTCTCGAGGATGCGTAAAGTGGCGGAAACAAGCGCACGTTCCGCCGCATGGCCGATGCCTTCGATCCAAAGCAGAGGCTTGGCCTTCCAGGTGAATTCTGCAGAGCTGTGACGAGGCAGAGGCGGCAAAACTGTGACAAGGATGGCCTATGGTATGGCGTGGAGTGGTGTGGTGTGGAGTACCCTACGGTACAGTCTTGAAAGGGAGGGTTCCTCTTTCTGTACCTCTTTCTCTCGAGGCTCGTATTGCAAAGCTCAGGCGTGGCAGTACCCCTGGCATGGGAAGGGTTCCTTTCGTCGCTTCTTATAGGCTGCTTCGTTTCTCCGCGATGCCCCAACCCGATGGCTTCATATCTGGACAGAGGCTCGCTGCTGGAGTGGAGCGAGCATCTGCTGAGTGCACGTGCGCTGGTGCTGCAGCTGGAACTGCTACTTTTTGCTGCTGCTGCTGAGGCTGCTGCTGGCGAGGCTGCTGCTGGCGAGGCTGCTGCTGGCGAGGCTGCTGCTTGCGAGGCTGCTGCTTGTGAGGCTGCTGCTTGTGAGGCTGCTGCTGGCGAGGCTGCTGCTTGCGAGGCTGCTGCTTGTGAGGCTGCTGCTTGTGAGGCTGCTGCTGGCGAGGCTGCTGCTGGCGAGGCTGCTGCTTGTGAGGCTGCTGCTTGTGAGGCTGCTGCTGGCGAGGCTGCTGCTGGCGAGGCTGCTGCTTGTGAGGCTGCTGCTTGTGAGGCTGCTGCTTGTGAGGCTGCTGCTTGTGAGGCTGCTGCTCTGGCTGCCAGCTGCGCTTCTTTGCTCTCTCAGTCCACCACACATACAGCACACACCCCTCGTCCAGTGAACAGCTCTCGTCCGGCGAGCATTTGAGGCCACCTCTTTTTGTGTCGCTAAGAGAACAGCGCTTCGTCCATGTCTGCCGCTAAGTGCCACAGCAGCCGCATGAGAGCCTGCATTGCTCTCCAGCACGCTCCAGCGCGCGTGGAAGGGGCTTCAGTTAGAGAAATCCTCCATGACAGGCGAACAGCTGACTCACCTGCCTCCCACAACAGCCGCGTGAAGACGAGCATTGCGCTCCATGGATCTCCAGTCGTCGTGGGAGGGACCTCAGCGAGAGGGACTGCAGTGGGAGGCGTCTCAGTGAGAGAGCTCCGAGCTCAGGACGTCCGTGACACGCCATCAGGGGGCGTGCCCGGCTCTCACATGGGGTGGATTGAGCGTCACAGGCATAGGCAGCACACGGCGTGGCTTGCACGGCAGCGCGGCATGCTGAGGACTGGGGTGCTGCAGAAACGGCCGGCGAGCATGCTGTGGCATGGAGCATTTAAGAGGGGACGCTGGGGGTGGAGTGAAGTGTCACAGTTCAATGCTACTCCCACGGCTCCCTCTGCTGCTGATTCTCCCTCTGCAGCTATCTCTCCCTCTGCTGCTATTGCTCCCGTTGCTGCTACTTCTCGCTCTGCTGCTATTGTCCCTGCTGCTCCTATTGCTGCTGCTGCCGCCGCCGCTGCTGCTGTTGCTGCTGCTGCTGCGTCCTTTGCTGCGGCTGACACTGCGGACATTGTCACTGCTCCTGCTGCGAGTAATGCAGCTGTTGCTGTTCCTTCCGCAATCAATGCTGCTGTTGCTGCCGCAGGTGGTACCGTTGACAGCACAATTGTGACCCTGACTTCACCTTCTGCTAGCTCTAGCACGTCAGCTGTTGCTGCTGCTGCTGCTGCTGCTGCTGCTGCTGCTGCTGCTGCTGCTGCTGCTGCTGCTGCTGCTGCTGCTGCTGCTGCTGCTGCTGCTGCTGCTGCTGCTGCTGCTGCTGCTGCTGCTGCTGCTGCTGCTGCTGCTGCTGCTGCTGCTGCTGCTGCTGCTGCTGCTGCTGCTGCTGCTGCTGCTGCTGCTGCTGCTGCTGCTGCTGCTGCTGCTGCTGCTGCTGCTGCTGCTGCTGCTGCTGCTGCTGCTGCTGCTGCTGCTGCTGCTGCTGCTGCTGCTGCCGCCTCTGCTGCTGCAGCTGTTGCGACTGCTGAGGATGCTGAATTATCTCTGGGAGGGCAATGCAGCAGCCACGTGGCTGACAATGCACCAGTGAACAGTGTTATCGAGACTGAGATATTTACAGTTACAAGTGACGCCACTTCCCACAGCACGCTCATAGACACTCCAAGCCGGCACGCGTGGGTGAACAGTGGAGCGAGTCAGCACGGCGAGACAGGCTGTGCCACGTGTCAGCCTGCCATTCGCTGCATACCTGCTGCTGTCTTCCCCACCAACTTCGCCCCTAGAGCTGGGACCGAACGCTCCCCTCTCAACCGCACATGCATGCAGCAGTCTCTCGTTACCACCACCATCCCAAGAGCACCGCTGAAGGATGCTCACGATAATGCCTCAATGCTTTGGCAACGTGCTGTTTTTTCCTCCAGTGTTGCCCCTGGAGCTGCCTCCCAGGATTCCCCTTCTCCCTGCACACGCATGGTTCCTCTCTTTCCCATTGCGCGCCAAAAGGAGGCTGAGCACATTGCGCGCCAAAAGGATAACGCCTCAGTGCTCCAGCAGTGTGCCGCCTTCCCCCCTGGCGTTCCACCTGAATCTGGATTCAAGAGGCCTGTTGTTTTTACGAACAATCATGACCAATCATACCCTTGTCTGCCTGGAAACGCACACGACGCTCAAGCCCATATTGGGCCAGCAGTGCCGCTACCACTAGAGCAGCAAGACGCTTTCTCCCCTGTGGCCCACACAGCTGTCTTCCCCATGGCCTTTGAGTCGACTCAAAAGTCGGCCTTCAGTCAGCCCGCGGGGCAGTGCGCCTTTCCGTCGTTCACGTGCCTCTTGAATTCAATCTCACCCTGCCGGCAGCAGGAGTGGCCGGCCCCAGAAGCTGCTCTGGAAGAGGGGAGAGAGGCACTTTTGAATGTGCAGCTTCAGCCGCAACAGCAGCAACAGGAGGTTCAGCAGCGGCCGCTGGAACAGAGACAGCTGCAATGGCAGCAGCAGCAGCAGCAGCAGAAGAACGATTCTGAAATTTATGTTGATGGCGCTGCATGGGAGACGGACTGCACTGCTGGCAGTGCCTCTGCTGGTTCCAGTGAGGCATGTGTACTGCATTCCCCGTCAGCGGGCTCTCATAGCACAAAGCAGGAAATGGAGACCAGACAGGGGTGTCAGGATAGGCAGGAGAGGAAAGAGAGGGAAGAGAGGGAAGATAGCGAAGACCCTGACAGGTTGGCTGACGGGGGGCGACTGATTGGGACTCGAGGCAGTAGCTGCAAGCTGTCGCGCAGATGGTCAAGCTCTGAGGAGTGCGACGAAGGGGACCTGCTAGACACTGCTTCCTCGTTGTTGTACCTCCATGGAACATTCCAGATGCAGTAACAGTGCCGTCAACCACGGTACTTGCTTTCCTGCTATTGCTAAGCTTAGGTCAACAACGGAACTGCCTATGAGTATCCTTACACAGCCTTAGTACGTGGTAAGCTTAGGGCTGCCTACTCCTTGATTCACTAGTACCTAGTATCTATATGGCTCTTTGCTAGTACCGTATCTAAATGCTATACCCTGCTCCACCAGGGATATAAATCTCCATCCATCCTGACATGGGGACCTTTCACATGAAACAAAAACACCCACACTGCATCCCGTCCCATCTACGCAATGCCTGACAGACCTCTAAGCTCCCAGATCTTCACCATCTCATCATCTCCCCCTGATGCCAGCAGATGGGGATTCTGCCACACGGGGAGGGAAGGGAGGGGATAGTTTGCAAGTGAAAACAAGAGCATACCGTCCCATCTACGCAATGCCTGACAGACCTCTAAGCTCCCAGATCTTCACCATCTCATCATCTCCCCCTGATGCCAGCAGATGGGGATTCTGCCACACGGGGAGGGAAGGGAGGGGATAGTTTGCAAGTGAAAACAAGAGCATCCTGTCCCATCTATGCAATGCCTGACAGACCTCTAAGCTCCCACATCTTCACCATCTCATCATCTCCCCCTGATGCCAGCAGGCGGGGATTCTGCCACATGGGGAGGGATTGTAGAGGAGAGGATAGTGTGTAAGTTAGTTCGCAAGTGAAAACAAGAGCAATTGTTTTGCGCTTGTTGCATGTGTGGGTTGTACGGAGTGGACAGAAAAGTGGTGCACAAAAGAACCAGGCTGGGCGGAAGTACCAGAAGTTGGAACGGGCATTTCACCTTGGGGTTCCATCTCACGCAGTTCACATCTGTGCCATGTGCATGCGTCTTCCGGATCAACAGCTGGGGCCTGCTTCCCGCCTCCTCGGCCAACCCTGCCGCCCCTACCACCCCTGCTGCCCCTACCACCCCTGCTGCCCCTACCACCCCTGCTGCCCCTACCACCCCTGCTGCCCCTGCCTCCCCTGCCTCCTCGCCACTCCCCTCTCTGTCAGCATCAGGCTCTGAGCGAGGGAGGCCGGAGAAAGAAAAGACTCGTATGCAGTCATCTCCTGCTGCTGTGGCAATCAACCCATGAACCCTGCACAACCAATGAGGAGAGGGTGAACAGCAACAGGTACACCATACAGCTACAAGAGCCATGAAATAAACACGAGATATGCAGCGATTGCAATATCCTTGCAGCACAAGCGACCCTCCAGCAGCAGGATGTGAGGGGGAGTACAAGTGGCAGATGTAAAGGGCTTACATCGACCAGTCAACATGGAAGATGGTGCGGTCGTGGAAGCCTGAAAGTGTACACACATGTGACCTGGCAAGCCAAGAAACACATGCAAATGATGTTTCAAGTCGGCGATGATGGGTGAAAAGGGCAGAGGCGACAGAAAAGAAAAGAAAAGAAAAATCGTTTGTACGCGCGAACCAATGCCATGATGCCACATACCATAACAACTGTCAAGTGGCACAGTTAGACTGCATGGATGGATGTGCTTTGAGATTGTGTCTCCAAACGTACCATCCCTTTGCTGAAGGCTTGCTCCCTGAACTCCCTTCTGAGGTCCTCACATCCGATGGCTCCCGACTTGTATCCCAGATTTTAACGGTCAGATCGTCACTGCAGGGTGTTAAGACGGGGCCAGAACACAGATACACAGGAGAGGTTGGAAGGGAGAGTGACGGGAAGCTATGCGTGAACGCGGGCCAAGTAGTAAGCAAGCACAGTGCACAGGAAAGTCAGGACGAGGAGCGCATGGACGAGATTTAAAAAAAAAAAAAAAAAAAAAAAAAAAAAAAACAGGGAAAGGTAGGAGAGTATCGAATAGCTGGGTACCTGCAGGATGCCATGTAGTGTCCTGTAGCATCAAAGGAGATAGCCCAGACTGTGGACGAGTGCCCTGCCCTGGACACAGAAACAAGAAGGTGATACTTGTAAAGAGACTATCTGAAGGAAATTGAGGAAACAACCACACCTTTTCCATTGGGAAGTCATTGCTGTAGCTGCTGACAATAGCATACTCTTTCTATTCTCACCCAGATGCAGCATCAAGCGTCTGCACGCATGACCAATCGTCTTCACCCTCCACCTCCGCAGCCCAGACCTGCCACAATAAACGCAATATGAACAAGCAACGAGCACGTCCAACAAGGTCCACTCTTATCTCAAACGACAGCAATTTCGAGAAAGACACGAATGCTTCCCAGCATAAGGTCCACCCTGTAGTAAACTCGCTTTGAGAACAGTAGCTACCCTTTTCACCTTGATGCTGTCATCATAGCTGGCAGACACGAGCCAGTCATGCTTGGGGTGCCAGCGCACCATCTTCACGTCCTGAGTGTGCCCATGCAGCACCGCCACACAGTCAAAGTCAGACGCAGGACCCACACCGATCAGTCCAGCCATTCCGCTGCTGCCACCTGGCACCTCCCAGATCCACACGCTCTTGTCCCGGCTGCAGGTAGCTAGCAGGGAGCTGGTGGAGTTCCATGCCACGGACTTCACTTCGCTCTCGTGGCCCTATGTTCATGGGGTTGGTTAGGGGGAAGGCGGAACACGCCTCAGAAATTCTCAAGTGGCTAGCAGGGAGCTGGTGGCGTTCCATGCTACGGACTTCACTTCGCTCTCGTGGCCCTATGATCATAGGGATGGGTAGCGAGAAGGCGGGACAGGAGCGAAGGGAAGAGTTTTCCCCACATCAAGTGGCGCCTGAGACGCCTAAGAGGTTGTCTCACATCAGGCGGCTAGCACGGAGCTAGTGCCGTTCCATGACACGGACTTCACCTCGCTCTCGCTCTCATGGGTGGGTAGGGGGCAGGCTGGGGTGTGAGGAAGGGGTGGAGATTGGAAGCAAGGAGAGGGCCAATGACCATACAAGGGAAATGAGAGGCAAGAGGAGTGGAAACAGGAACCGAATTCAAGAACAAGGTCGTCAAAAAGGTGTGGATGAGTAAGAATATGCGCGCTACTAATAGTATCCAAATACCTTTCAGCCGTAAAGTGCCATTGCCCCCCCTCTGAATTCAGAAAGTCTGAGCATGCACACGCAGGCAGAAGGACAAGGTGCTGACCTCGAGCACAGCAAGACACTCGAAGTCGGCATCGTTTGACCCAGTCCTTTCCCAAACAGCCACCGTGTTGTCGAAGCTGGCTGTTGCGAGGAACCTTCCGTCTGGTGACCACTCGCATGATCTAATGGTCCTGGAGTGCGTGTCTTCCAAAATTGCCTGTTGGAAATTTAAAAAGAACACGAATTGGAACCGAGAAAGATAACAACAGCTGCAGATTCTCATTAATCTCCTCGAGTCGCGCGATGGATTCTGGGGTGAATTACAAGCAAGAGAGAGTGAAGACCCGGTTTCGGGATTTTTACGACCTTGCAAATGAAAGAGGATGACGGTCCGGCTTCTCGACCCCAGATCCGGACACAACGGTCGCCGCTGCATGAGGCCAGGAGGGCTCCGTCCGGCGACCATGAGACGCTCCACACGCGATCGTCATGCCCCCGAAGCTCCTGAACCTCGACTAATTCAGAAACTTCGCATGCTTTCGAGAACGCTGAATCGGGTGGGGTGCTAGGCACCATAGCAGGCTGAGGGGAAGCAATCGCCGCCATTACTCCCATCACTAGGAAAAACACGGATATAAACTGGTAAAAAATGTCCGGACACTGAAGTAGCCCAACTATGTGCAGAGCTCACAAATATTTGAGAACTGTTTGCGGTTTGTGAGAGGTTGGCCCACCACACGGGAATGTTTCAAGCACAAGATCGACCAAATCCTGTCCGGGTTTATAAAATTCCCAAAGTTCGAACTTCTAGAGAGGTTTTACACGTTAGGATACAGTTGAGAGACTTGTTGCCACGGTGCAAAGCGGTTTGAGTTCGAAGTTTTTAGTTTTCGTAAAATCACACGTGCCCTAATCTTCCACGTTTGAATTCGCTGCCCATCCTGACCATCCTGAGAACCCCCAAGGCAGAGCTGCATTCCCACATCGAGAGCCTTCCTCATGGAACTCCATAGCAGACAAGTGAAGTTACCGCTGCCCATCCTGACCATCTTGAGAACCCCAAGCAGTGAGACACGACAACTTTACTTGCTCCTGACGTTGGAAGCGTGTTTGAACATTATGTATCTGTTGAAACCTTCAAGAAAACCGCCGTCAGTTGAGGTCTGTCTTGTCCTGCCGGGTTTTTGTTTTCACAGATTTACAAGAACTGACATTTCTAGCCACGTTTTTATGAGCAGGAAGTTATGGCTTTCATGAAACAGTCCCGAAGAAAGGTAGGATTTTTTATCTTTCGCAATTTTTCATAAAAATTCCGCGACGCTCGTGCGGTAACCTAGCATTTTCTCACTTCAGGGTTCCCGTCGTGGAAGCCTGAACGCGTCCTTACATCGCGGCGTCGGAAGCTCATGTCAGAAATTTCTGGAAACGAAAATACCAGACGTTGCATCAGATTTTAATGAGCGTAACTTGTGCGAGAATCTCTTTGTTGATAAGCCAGCGCCGGTGCCAACCAAGCAAGTTAATTTCTCAAGCTTTCGCACCAGTGCCAGTGACGCTGCATGGGAGGTGGATAGAAAGTACACTTCGGCCTTGCTACCAAGTTCGTTCGAGATGCTCTCTGGAGCTAACGAACCGGTTGCATCACCACCTTACTTTCCGGGTCGTGGAAGTTCGAGCTCGCCGTTCTTAAATGGCGATGTCAGAAGAAGCAGAGACCCAGTTTTGGAAGCGAGATGTCCAGACGCTGCATCCAAGATCGACGAGACTGGCCTCTCGACTTTTGAAGAGAGTGTCTCTGAGGCACACCCTGTTATGAAGACATTGTCAACGATTGACAGATGTGATCATGGCCATTCCCTGGGCACAGGTCCTACTGACGGCGTGCGGAAAGTCGGAGGGAGCTTTTCTAACTTACTGTCGAGCTCTCCTGAGCTGCTCTCTGGTGCTGGAAAATCGGGTTCACCACCGCCTTACATTCCTGCTAAAGCCAACGCGATTTTTTCTCCAAATATTGAAAAGGTTGGGTCAGGGCAAGCATGCGTCCCACAACAGTGCGGATGGGAGCCGGGTTTTACTACGGTTTGTGAAAAGAGTTCAGTGCTTAATGAGTGGGAAGCACCCCCTCCTTCATCGCCAAAGAAGAACATCATTGAAGAATTGTTCAGTGACCTGCCAGCAAAGCCTTTGGAGTGTGGTGGCTGCGTGGAAGCAGACCTAGGAGCACGCAGAACCGTCCCTTGTGGCGAGTGGGGAAGTTTGAATAGCACAGCACCTCTTGTTGTCTCCCTGCTGTTCTTTGATGAAGAGCGGAGTCAGCTTTATGTCTCACTTGATTTGCAACTTCCTTCCAAGGTGCGTTCACATGAGCAAACTCTTCTTGCTCACCTAAATTAGTCCCCTCACATCCTGAGTGGCTGTGCAGAAACGAGATTGGGCAGCAAATGGCATTTACCTTTCCTCAATTGAAGACCTCAGCATAATTGGAGTTGTAGTTCATCAGATCGGTCTACCCAAGCTGAGAGTCATTCTATTACCTGGAGTGCATGTTGATGTTCTCCCCACCACCAACGTAACTCATGAGGAGTTCAGGTAACTTGTCAATTGAAGGCTGAAATTGTCCTTGGTGCACGAACTGAAAACAACATATATGCTCTCAGAGAAGCAATTCGAGCAGCTATAGTTTCTGCAGATGCTATCATCTGTTGTGACTCACAAAGATTCGTCAGATCTCTTTTGCAGTGGAAAGTTCCAGGTGAGCTCGTCACTTACATTGAACTAATCATCTTTGCATATACACAGGAGGCACATTTCCTCTTTTTTTTTTTTTTTTTTTGCAGTGATGGATCTCTATAACATGTTTATTGACCCAAAAGTGAGTAAAACTCCTGTATGGTGATTCTTATTTTGCTATTACGGGGCACTAACATCCGCGAAATGATGCATATCTGTCTGGCATCAAATTGCTCGAGAGAAGATTCTTGCGTGGTAAGGTTTCCAGCATTATCTAACTCCTTTCTTTCTGCATAATTTCGTCTTGAATATAATCAACTACGTGTTTTTTGCTTTCAGGCAACTAGGTGATAATCTGGAGCAGCTGATTGGAAAGGCGAAAGAAGAGGCCAAGGGGAAAGATGTCCTGGAAAGCAATGCTAGAGGAAGTGCTCATCTTCGGAGTGTTCACACCAGCCTCAACATCTGCTATGATGTTTATGCGGCATTGGTGGCAAGGTCAAATGGACAACTTCGTGATGCATTCAGGTATGATTCAGAAGAGCATACAGTTATTTCTTGTCCTTACCCTGCTAACATACCATTGGGTACTGCAGGGTCAACATGAGGCTTCTTCCTGTTCTCGCGCAAATGGAGATTGCTGGCGTTCGGGTTGATGTAAGCACATGTCTCGTTATATTCAAGATGTGCCACTTACATCTGTAGCCTAACATGAAGTCGTTTTCACTCAGATGGACTTATTAATGTCAAAACGGGACTATCTGGAGGTATGACACATAGATATGAGATTGTTACATCGTTTGTGCCCAGTTACTCATAATACATACTTTGTGCTTGCTACAGAAACGGATGGAGCATCTTACGTCGATTGGGGAGCAGTTGGTTGGCCGTCGTGTCAATTTGGCTAGTCCAAAGCAAGTGGCCCAAGCCCTGTATGAGGTATGAGGTGGATTTGTTTACAGCTGAAGTATGATGTTCTGGACAAAATTATAACTCATGAGAACTGCAGGACTTGAAGTTGCCAGTAGGAGCAGCTAAGAGTGTTGGTATGGCCAAGAAGCGAGAGGCACAGACTCACTCAACTACAAATGAGGCAACACTAAGTCAACTCGCTTCGCTTCATCAGTTTCCTAGTATTGTCTTAGAGGTAAGTTCCTTTAACACTGAAGAAGCAACATTGTCCAAAAGCCTAGGGCGATTGTGCCTAACGTTTGAGCGGGTTCCAGTTCAGGCAACTTCTGAAGGTCAAGTCGACCTGGATTGATGGTCTTCTATCAAGTTCTTGCAGCAAAACGGTATTCCCTTCACTTTTGCATGCGATGCCGCCTGAACAGGTTGCTCAGTTTTGTTGTGTGCTCAGGATGGTTCTGCTAGGATTCACTCGGAGTGGAATGCTGCTAACACGGCAACAGGGCGGTTGTCATCTTCCAGCCCAAATTTACAGGTTTGATTTACACATAACCAGCAACACTGATGTTTGTTTCACGAATTAACGTTGCTTTTGGGCAGAACCTGCCAACATACGCCCTAGAAGGGACATCTGCTGCGACAAACACTTCAACCGTTGCTATCGCCATTCGTGATGCTCTTATGTCTGCACCAGGGTTGGTTGCACTGTTACTCTTCTTGTATTTCTTGGCTCAGCTGCATATCTTCTTACCTTTTCCCTGCTCTACTTGTAGTTCACCATGCCCCTAACACTTTGGTGGTTCTTTTGAATGAAGGAGTACCACATTATCGGTCTTGAAGCGTTGTCTGCTTGGCATGCAGGAAGGTACTGGTTTCTGCTGATTACTCACAAATAGAGCTTCGGATTTTTGCTCACTTATCTGCTGATGAGGCTCTGGTATGGTTCTCCCTCCTTTCACTCACACTTTGTAGGAGTCCTTTTTTCTCCTGCTCCAATGAGCTTGATGATGTGTACGCGTGTCTTGAGCAGGTTAATGTCTTTAAAGCTGGACAACAGAGTGATGTTTTCAGACTCATTGGAGCAGCCTATCTTGGAAAATCTGCAGATGCAGTAAATGATCAGGAGCGGCAACTGGTCAAGAGATTGTGCTGTGAGTGAGGCTGTTTATTGATTTTTCTCTTTCTTATTTTCGTGTCAACGATGCCAAGTTAATGCTGCAGATGGTATTCTTTATGGGCAAGGGAAGCAAGCCATGGCTGCAATTCTGGGAGTGGATGTCGACAAGGCTCAACAACTTTTGCAAAGCTTTTTAGATCACTTCCCGAGTATGAGGGCTTTCATCAATCAGACAATCAGCAGAGCCCGACGGGATGGATATGTCACAACTATGTGGGGCCACCGCAGGCTACTTCCAGGTACCGTAGTTCATGGTCCGCTGTTCTTTCGTGACCATTGCCAAACTTACATCTTTACTGTGTTGGTGTTTCAGATATACATGACCGTAATCCAGAGAGGAGAGCTCAAGCAGAAAGGCAGGCAGTGAATACTATCATACAAGGTTCCGCAGCGTAAGTACCATCTTTCTTCAATGTACTACACTCGTTTGTACCTCTTGCTTGACCACTTCCCCTTACCCTGGACTGCTTCTACTGTTGTTGGGCAGGGACCTGATGAAGTTGGCCATGCTGGATGCCAGCAAGCTTGTACAGGGTAACAACGGAGATATTCAAATCGTGATGCAGGTAAGTAGGTCCTGCTGCCTGCTTGCAAGGTCAGTGGTTCATTCTTATGCTATGTATCCCGCAGGTTCACGACGAGCTAGTGCTAGAAGTCCCGGAAAAGGATGTATTTACAGTCTCTAAGGTGGTCAAGCTGATGATGGAGAAGGTTGCATCCTTGGATGTTCCACTGGTAGTGAATGTCAGGGCAGGGAATCGCTTTGGAAGTTTGCGCGCCATAGAAGAGTAGTCAATGTATTCTGTAGACATCCAGAAGTTGAAAATGGTTAGTGGTTCTAAGGTGTATTATAGCATTTTTTTTTTTACATTCATTACTCTTGTCACATGACCTCACACATTGGTCTGCAGAATAAAACATGTTCAAAGGATATAAATCTCTTAGTGTTTCAGTGTCCTCCTAGGGGTAATAGATGTTGGGTGTTTGGGCTGCTGCTCCATAACGGGTCACGGACTGTTTGGACATGTCACCGTTGGTCTTGATTGGACAAGCCACCTCACCTTGGGGATGTCGTGGGACTCGAGAGACTGCCTACCGCTGCCCAGGTCAGACTAGCACCGAGCCGAACTGTCTCCACGTTAGCTGCGTTCAAGTTGTCGGCCTGAACGCGCACCACCAGAGTTCCGTTTCCTTCTGGTTCGCGTTTACAGGGCTGCGCGGCTTTGGGGGGCCACCGAACCCACGCATCAACTTTCGTTCTGCGGGCTCGTCAAACTGGATGCAGTTGTCGGTCAGGCCTCAAGTTATTCGCGTTCCATGAATCTCCAGCCACTCATGAGCCTTCCCTCCCGATTTTGGGCATCAAAAACTTCCACAAATCGCGTTCCAAGAGCTAACCGATTTTCGTGACCAATGAGGCTTGCGGGATTATTCGCTGCCCCAAATCGCGTGTTTGCTCTGCGCGTTCCGTTAGTGACAGTAACAGCTGCTGCTGGTGATTCGCCGCACCGTCATCACCAGCCTCCCGCCATCGGCGCTGTGCGTTTCGTCCATTCCACTCCCTCCCATCCGATTCCCCCTGTAGTCAGAACAAAATGGGGCGAAAACAAAGAAACGCGTTCCGCTTCGTTTGACATTATTTTGCAGCCAAGCGCCGAAACTGACGCTAGGTTGGGAGGTCAAGCAATTCACGAAGTTTATCTCAAGCCCAGTCCACAAATGCCATTCACGTTCGATTGCGGCCTGCTATTATTCTGCACAGGCCAATCTTCACTTTTCGCTGCGCATAGAGCAGTCTCACGACGAGCCACTCACCATGGGCTGCAAACGAGCGTCACTCGTTCATCCTGAGGAGTTGGCAGCAATGAAGCGAGCGCGAAACGAAAAGGCCACTTCTCCTACACTTACCCCTCCTTCATTTAAAAACCTTCCGGTGCGTTTCCCTGTAGACCCTCCTCACCGCTTTCGTCTCGTCTAGCGCTCTTCTTTCTGCATGTGTCTTGATTATTTCTACCAAGCGAATGCCAATGTCTGTGCATTCTTTCATGCTCACCCCCTTCTACCAAAATATGTCTCTTCGCTTCTTTCCCCGATCAGGATGAACTCCTCACGACCATTCTCTCAATGGTCGCTGCACGCGCCTCAACTCCCCAAGACTTTCTCTCCTGCCGCCTCGCTTCTTCCCACCTTCGCCGCATCTCACTCCTCCCGGAAATCCTCGCCGTGTTACCACCTCCCGCTCTCGCTTGCCCGGCGAAAAACTACTCGCTCGCCTATCGCTCGTTTCTATCGGTATGCGCAGCGGTGGGAAACGCGGAGGCTGCGTTTCTTCTCGGCATGGTCGACTTTTATTGCTTAGAGCGAGTGGCGAGCGGCATGAAGCGGCTTGTGCAGGCAGCAAAGGCAGGGCACGCAGCCGCGTTACACAGCCTGTCAGTCATCCATTTCAACGGTAGCGGATTGCTTGCAAGCGGAGCGGAGGGAAGTGGTGCAGCGGAGGGAGGTGGCGCAGCGGAGGGGGACACAGGAAGGCGGAAGCTGCGGGGGAACCGGAAGGTCGGGATGGGGATGTTGCTGTGTGTGGCGGCGGCTAAAGCGGGTCACCCAGATGCGCTGCGGGAATTAGGGCTGTGTCTGCAGGACGGATTTGGAATCAAGCGGAGTGTCGCCCAGGGGAGGCTGCTTCTGGTGGAGGCAAACCTGCGGGAGCTGGCTAATAGCGGGGATAAAATGGCGGCAGCAATGGGTGGGGTCTCATGTTCAGAAGCCGAAAACGTACAGATTAAGACCAGGAATGTGAGGAAGAAACAGGAGCGAACTGTACTAGAGATCAATACTCAAGTCCCAGTTGGCGCTACGGACTCTGATTGTGGAGAAGCAGAAGTAGCAAGAACGGGAAGTTTTAACCTTCAAGGATACGCTAAGCACCAAGGCGCGAACCTGTCACTCGGAACAGATGCAGCAGCGATGGAAACCCTACTTCAGCATACTTCTCGCTTGCTGTCAAGAGCTAGCCGTGCGACTGCAAAGCGTGTGACTGTAACGGAAGGAGAGAAGCACGAGGCGCTGGAGATTACTGATGAGGAGAGGCTGCTAGCTCGAGCCGTCTTGGCAGATGGGGGAATCTTCGGCTGCTGCACGCGCGAAGAGAAAAGCGTCTCGTTGGAGCCTCCGCCGATTCCGCCTGCAAATCAGTTTCTCGTGGAATGGATGGCATTGCATGGAAAGCAGTTTCAAGAGAGCGGGAGGCATGTGTGCGGTAACGCGCGATGTGGAAGGGTTGAATTGCGAAAAGGAGAGTTTCGCTGCTGTGCTGCATGCGAGGAGGCTCGCTACTGCTCGCGCGCCTGCCAAGTGCTGGACTGGCGGATCGGACATGTGGCCACCTGCCAGCCGTGCACCAGAGATTAGAAGAGTTAGATAGGCCTACTAACCATATTCACATATGTGCCGAGCCCTTGCCTTGTCTGCATAAATGATCCTTCGTTTCGGCGTGGGCCACCTGTATGTAGCATTGCGGTTCCGTGAGTTTCTTTGCGTTCCAATGCAGTATACTGTGAATGTAGAACGGCTGAGTATGGCTTTGAATGTAAACAAAGGCTTGGACCCCAGCAAAATCCTTGGTTACCAGACGTGGTTCGATTTCGCTTCCATCATCCCACGCACTTTGACCCTCACGACACGATTTTCAGAAGCTCAGGCATCGCTGTGATATTCACGAGCGCGGTGTGGCGAGCCTTAGCGAGAAAGATATTGATTCGTCAGGCTGGTAACTGTTGTGGCTTGTTTCGACCCAGCGAAAACAGAAGTGCCTCCTCACCACCCCCTGTTGGGATAGTTCTCAAAGGTCAGAACATAGATCACACACGGCAGCATTTGTCAGTCGCACGGGATATTTTGGAATCCTCACCAAGTAGACAAGACAGCCTGAGTGAAGGCTACTTCGGCAGTCTATTGCATCCTGCGTGCAATAGCAACGACACTAAGTCCTTATCTTCCGAAGTGCATCGCTCACTGTCGCCATGTCTCACGGTAAGCGATAGTGGCTCACGTCAGCCTGTTTACTTCCTCCTTGCTGTTCCGCTACCCAATCTGCGATCAGATTTCGCCCTCATAGCTTACTCCTCACAACGCTGATGCATCGCGGAACATTCGTAACTCCCTTTTCAATGTCCCTCATTTCCTAACCACCAGATCCAAGGTACCCTTACGGTTATCCACCACCAGCCGGCTACCCACCACCAGCCGGGTACCCACCCGCACCCTACCCTCCCGCGCCCGGCTATCCACCCCCTCCTGCCGGCTACCCGCCTCCTCCCGCCGGTTATCCGCCTCCTCCGGGCTACTACCCCCCGCCGCCGGCAGGCTACCACCACCCGCCACCCCCACACTACCACCGTGAGATCTTACATTCTACGATGCGTGACCTCTTAGTTTTTTTTAGGTCACTTTTCAAATGCTGTTCCTCCTATAACCTTCCCTCCCAATTGCACGCTTCTTTTGCACAAAATTGATTTAGCGGTATATGCCTGTTCATTATCAGATATGTATGTGTTCTTTAACCGGCCTCGTACCACCCCTGTAACTGTGTTACACTGGCAGACGGCGCGGTGGCCCATCACAGCATCGGCCATGCCTTGGCGCATGGCGTAGCTCACACGATGCACCTCTTTGGAAAGAGGAAGCACAAGGGTCACTTCGGATGGGGGAAGCACAAGGGGTACCACCACCACCATTACGGCCACCACCATCATCACCACCACGGTCACCACGGCCATCACTATGGAAAATGGAAGGTAAGGGTCGTTAAGCTGTTTTTTTGCTGACTCGTTGAATCCACAGCAAGCAACCATCGTTGAATGTTTCGGTGCACACACAGCTAGCATTCTATGCGCCTCAGAAACCGTTTCTGTACACGCACCCAGCGTCGAGGCGTTTAATGGCCTGCCGGGGTTGCTGTGTCAACCCAGTCCATCTTTTTACTTACGCATAGTATCTCTGTTCTTTGTCCAATCATTGCTCTGCTCTGCTCTGCACGCTGTCCTTTCCTTCGGCAGTAACTATCAAGGACACAAGTGCAGAGAACATAACAGCTTGATGGTGGAACCAGCCTGCCTGTCACAATTCCCACCATGTAGTTGTCCTTTGTGATAATGTACAGAAGCGTATGTACACATTCGTTATTCAAGTGCTGTAGATATTTGTGTATCAACCTCGAAGGTGGCCACATGATCTGTATTGCTATGTATCGTACCAATATCCACTTACCGTACATGAAATGGGAAGACTGTGTCCCACCCACCATGCAGAACCAGAACCTTGCTCAAGCCAGCAGACTCCAAAATAATAAATGCAAGCCGATCAACAGCTGCAACAGCCAACATCTCACAAACAAAGTCGTTACGAATCAGTCCTGGGTGCGAGTATGAGTGGATATGCCAGTTGCAACGATGCTGGTGAGTGGGACACCACCACAACAATGTCACTCTGATCTACGCGTGTGTAAGGTGTCATGGTGGGTGGGGAGGAGCGGGGTGTGAGGCCGCTTGCGGCAGCGGTAGCAGCGACACATAATGATGAGAATCAGGCCCACCCACAGCAGCGGCACAGACCACCTGATGTGGATCATGGGAGGGAGAAGCAGACAGCAAGAGAGAGAGAGGGAGAGAAAGAAATGAGACGGCAGGCTGGATGAAGAGCATTGTTATAGCTTGTCGTTGTGGTGACAGTGACAAACGGTGAATAATGCCCACCTACATCGAGTAGGACACACGGGTCTTAAAGCCTGACAGGAGCTTACAGGTCGAGGTCGATAAAGGGGTTGTAGACGACGGCCTCCCAGATGTTGACGAAGGTGCGCCAGGCGGGGTTGAGGTAGAGCGAGTCAAAGGACCAGAAGATGCGCGTGTAGGTCTCCAGAAACACAAAGAGCGCCCAGGCCAGCACCTCCACCACGACCCACTTGACCATGAAACGCCCCACCACGACGAGCACGAGAGAGCCGATGACCAGCCAATTGAAGAGCCGCTGGTTGTACTCCTTTAGAAACTGAGAGCGTTCACGAGTCCAGGTCTGGTGGAACAGGGTATGGGATATTCAGAAGGAAGCGGAGGGTCTGGTTAGCAAGAGAGACTCCAGGAAGGAACACAAAGAGCGCCCAGGCGAGCAACACCACCATGACCCACTTGACCATGAAGCGACCGACCACGACGAGCAGAAGAGAGCCGATGACCAGCCAGTTGAAGAGCCGCTGGTTGTACTCCTTGACGAATTGAGACCTTTCTCGAGTCTAGGTCTGGATGATGCAGAGAGGGAAGAGCAGGGCATGGGTTTCCAGGGGGGAAACGGGGCGTCTGGATTAGCAAAAGAATCTCGAGGAGCACAAAGAGAGACTGATGGCTACGAGCACAAGAGAGCCGATGACAAGTCTTTAGCCTTCCAGCCTCTCACCTTCTTCAGCCGGTCCCTGTAGGCTGACTTGCTGGGCCCACGGCAGCAGGCATGCTCGACCGTGCGGTTGCATGCTTCCAGGCGCGCATCAAACTTGGCTACTGGATTCAGGCGCATGTTGGCGAGAGCGTCCAGCTCCTCTCCTCCAGTGATCCCCCTCCACATGACCCAGCCACTCCAACCACTCCCAGATGCACTCCAAAAAGTGCTTTCACAACCGAGTGTGCTTTCTTGAGCTGGTCCCGGTAAGCCGATTTACTTGGCCCACAACAAGCATGCTCGACCGTGTGGTTGGATGCTTCCGGGGCGGGCGTCAAATTTGGCAACCGATGGCAGCCGTATGTTGGCCAGGACGTCCAGCTCCTCTCCTCACTCACCTCCTTCCCTCCAGCTACACTTTGAGTTCTAACTTTGCTTCTTCTCACCTACTTCTCCCACTTTTCGCCCTGTAGTCACCCCCTTCCCACCCTCTCACCTTCTTGAGTCGGTCCCTGTATGCTGATTTACTCGGCCCACGACAAGCATTTTCCACGGTGTGGTTGCATGCCTCCAGGCGGGCATCAAACTTGGCCACCGATGGCAGGCGCATGTTGGCGAGAGCGTCTAACTCCTCCTCACACCCCCTGTGCGCGCCCTCACACGCCTTGGCTGATGCAAACTCGTTCTCGCGCTTCAGCTTCACCAGCTCCTGCGGGAGGGAGAGAGGGAGAAATGGGTGGTGACAGCGAGGGGGTGATTGTTATGATTGCACACACACAAGTATGTGCAGGTGCACTCGCGCACAAGCCCAGTGACAGACACACACTGAGGGCCAATCAGAGCATGTTGGCTAGAGCGTCTAACTCCTCCTCACACCCCCTGTGCGCGCCCTCACACGCCTTGGCTGACGCAAACTCGTTCTCGCGCTTCAGCTTTACCAGCTCCTGCGAGAGGGAGGAATATGGGAGGGGATAGTGAGGGGATGAATGCGATGATCGTGCACGCACAAGCATGCGCAGGTGGCCAGACACACTGACACGCAAGCATGCTCACACACAACACAAATGCACACCCCTCACCTCGCGCAGCTCGTCCTTCAAGGACCAAACAGCATCCTCCACATTCTTCCCGCCGAACCTCTCCCTTTTAAACCCTGCCACTAGGATTTGAATGCGTCGACACCATCGCCACTCCTCACGAACCACACAGGGAAGCGCATGCGCGCACACACACCCCTCACCTCGCGCAGCTCATCCTTCAACGGCCGAACGGCATCCTCCACGCTCTTTCCGCCAAACCTCTCCCTCTCAAATGCTGCCACGGCGTCACCACTGGCGTTCCGGTGAGCAGCCAGCAGCACCGCATCGTCTGTTGGCAGGAGGAGGCGGCGGCTCATAGGAAGCCGCATGCACATGCTCACAAACACATGCAAACACACGCTCACCTCTCGTAATTCATCCTTCAGGGGCCGAACAGCATCTTCCACGCTCTTCCCTCCAAACCGCTCCCTCTCAAACGCCGCCACTGCTTCCCCACTGGCGTTGCGATAAGCCGCCATCAGTGCTGCTTCTTCTGCGGGCAGGAGCACATGGCGTATGGCTTGGTGGTAGATCGCTAGACACTTGTCCTGCACCGCACGGTTGAATGCATCAACCACAGAGCCAGCTGTTGGGATGTGGCCTTTGTTGAGCGCGTTTAGAGTCTGGGCATGCAGGGTAGACGGGAGAGGGAGGGAGGGGGGGCGGGGAAGGGAGAACAGGAAGAGGAGGTGAGCAGGAGTTGATACCACCAGCAGCATGGGCAGCCGCCAGCAGCACCGCCTCGTCTGCTGGCAGGAGCAGGTGGCGCGTGGCTTGGTGGTAGATTGCTAGACACTTGTCCTGCACTGCCCTGCGCGGTTGAATGCATCAACGACCGAGCCGGCTGTTGGGATGTGGTCTTTGTTGAGCGCGTTTAGAGTCTGTGGGATTGGAGTGAGTGTGGATAGTGCGCACATGGGGAGCAAAGAACCGACAAGAAAGGATGAAGGTGGCGCATGGCTTTGTGGTATTTGGCGAGGCATTTCACTTGTACGGAGCAGTTAAATGCATCGGCAACGGAGCTGGCTGTTGGGATGTGCCCCTTGTTCGGCGCGTTGAGAGTTGAGAGCTTAGAACAAGGGGACACATAATGATGAGAATCAGGGGAAGAGGGGAAGAGGGGTAAGGGGGGGGAGGAGGGGCTGGAAGAAGGAGGAGCAGGAGATGAGAGCTTAGAACGAGGGGAGAGAGTGAAGTGAGCAGGGGTTGAATGGAAGGGAGAAATGAGGGAAACAGGCGGCGAACCACGTTGTGGCAGAGCGTGAGGCACTTGTCCTGTACGGCCCGTTCGAATGCATCTGATAAAGGATGTGCCATGGTGCGTCTGAAAAGAGGCGACTTTTGAGTCGACTCAAAAGTCACCTTGTCCTGTACGGCCCGGTTGAATGCATCTGAAAAGGATGTGCCATGGTGCGTCTGATAAGATCGAGCGAGCTGTGGAAAGAATGCGGGCCTCGTAAGGGCCACATGCGCCGTGTTGGGGTCACTTACAACAGCGGTCCGGCCACATACCCACAACAGCGGTCTCCATACACCATCAAGTCCCGGCCCGGCTTCACTAGCAGATCAACGAATTCCTCCCTGCTGACCATCTCACCTTCTCTAGATCTTGGGTTGCACCAGCGACGCCATCAGCTGCCACAGCTGGCAGTGTGCACTGAAAACCTCACGTCTTGAGCAGAACAGCGGACTTCTCCCCAGTGTCCATCTCACCTTTTCAAGCAAATCAGCAAACTCCTCCCCAGTAACTGGCTTCCCCGACACAATCTTGGGCTGCACCAGCGACGCCACCAGCTGCCGCAGCTCGTTGCATGCACTGAGAGCCTCGTGCTCTCTAACAGGTCAGCGCCTTCCTTTCCAGTGATAGTGGTGGTACCACCTCTCAGGCTCACCTTTTCAAGCAGATCTGCAAACTCCTCCCCTGTAACCGGCTTCCCCGACACAATCTTGGGCTGCACCAGCGACGCCACCAGCTGCCGCAGCTGGTTGCGCTGGCGCACGTACTTGGGGTCCAACTCGTCATCTGATAGTTCGCACAGACGCGTCCTCGCCAGGTGTGGCTGGGGGATGGGGTGGGCGTGGGGGTAAGGGAAGTAACAACACTTGAGGCAGCTGGTTGCGCTGGCGCACGTACTTGGGGTCGAGCTCGTCATCTGATAGCTCACATAGGCGCGTTCGTGCCAAATGGGGCTGGTGGATGGGGTGGGGGTGAGGGAAGTAACAGCTTTTGAGGCAGCTGGTTGCGCTGGCGCACATACTTGGGGTCTAGCTCATCATCTGATAACTCGCATAGACGCGTCCTTGCCAGGTGTGGCTGGTGGGAGGGGAGAGAAGGATTGGAGTATGGAGGGAAAGAGTGGCATTGAGCTTTTGAGGAGGTTGGTTGCGCTGGCGCACATACTTGGGGTCAAGCTCCTCGTCTGATAGCTCACAGCCGTGTCGCCAGATGCGGCTGGTGGGAGGGGTGGTGTGGGGGGTGGGGGGGTGGGGGGGGGAAAGAAATGGAAGCAACTGAACCAGCTGATTGCGCTGGCGCACATACTTGGGGTCCAGCTCCTCGTCTGATAGCTCACAGCCGTGTCGCCAGATGCGGCTGGTGGGAGGGGTGGGGGGGGGGGGGGGGGGGGGGGGGGGGGGGGGAAAGAAATGGCAGCAACTGAACCAGCTGATTGCGCTGGCGCACATACTTGGGGTCCAGCTCCTCGTCTGATAGCTCACATAGACCGGTTCTCGCCAGGTGCGGCTGGTGGGAGGGGGTTCGTTGGGGAAAGGGAGGTAGGAGTGGCAGCACTTAAAGCTGCTGGTTGCGCTGCCGCACGAACTTGGGGTCGAGTTCATCGTCTGATAGCTCACACAGCCGCGTTCTCGCCAGATGCGGCTGGTAGGAGGACGGGGGTTGGTTGAGGGGAAAATAAGCAGGGAAAGGCAGCAGCTGACGCAGCTGGTTGCGCTGGCGCACATAGTTGAGAATTCTCACAGAAACAGATTCAGCGCACGTAGTTGGAGTTTAACTCCTCGTCTGACAGCTCACACAGACGCGTTCTGGCGAGGTGTGGCTGGTTGGAGGGGAAGGGGCGTGGGGAAACAGAAGTTAGGGGCACTTGCTGCCGCTGGGTGCGCTGGCTGCGTGTTTCCAGTGTGTGGTTTGAGGGAAGAAGGGGGGGGGTTTGAACGGGCGAGGGGAACACAGGGGAGGAGAAAGAAGAAGAGTAGAATGAGAGGCATAACCTAGCAGAAGGAGCTCACCTGAGTGAGCCCGAAGGCAGTGCTGTTGGCGGCCATGAGGTTGAGCGACTGGCGAATGAGGTTCACTTGATCCACGTCCTTGTCAGTCGCTCACTTGCTCATACCATACCCAACTCAAGCAAAGAGAAGCAAACCTGACCATAGGCTGCTCTCACCTGCGTCAACCCAAACGCAGTGCTGTTGGCGGCCATGAGGTTGAGTGACTGGCGGATGAGGTTCACTTGATCCACGTCCTTGTCTCCCTCTGGGTTAGGAACCGGCTGCAGTGCCCCCCGCACCATCTCCTGCACCGTCTTGCCCTCTGGTGGGGGGAGAAAAGGACAAGGGGTGTGAGTGAGGGGAGGGGATAAGAAAGCAGCGGGTTCGGCACCGATTGCAGAGCCCCCCGCACCATCTCCTGCACCGTCTTGCCCACTGGTGGTGAGGGGAGTGGGGAAGGATAAAGAACAAGACCTGCGTGCTTATATGGGGAGAGTAGGTAAGGTAACATGGAAGCAGCAGGTCTGGAACAGGTGGTGCACACACACACACACATCCACGCGTACTTGCGCATGCACACGCACTTAGGGAGTCTCGTTGGATGAGCCATAGCAGCTCGGCTGGTGTGTTTTGAGCCGATTCAAACACACAGGGACAAGCGGCATATCACACACACCCTCCCCTTTCCCCACATCCCCCCATCCCCTCACCCCACACACACACGCACACACACAAACCTAGGAAGTCTCGTTGGATGAGTGAGCCATAGCAGCTTGGCTGGTGTGTTCTGAGTCGATTCCCCAGTATCATACAAACACCCCTCCACCTCCCTTCCCCCCCTCCCCCCCCCTCCTCCCCCCCACCACGACCCGCGCTCCTCACACACGCACCCAGGAAGTCTCGTTGGAAGAGCCATAGCAGCTTCGCTGGTGTGTTTTGAGTCGACTCAAAACACACAGGGACGGGTGGTATCACAAGCACACCTCCCCTTTCCCCACATCCCCCATCCCATCCCCCCCCACACACACGCACACACGCATGGGAGGGTGGGTGGGACGAGGGGCAACACACACAAACCTAGAAAGTCTCGTTGGATGAGCCATAGCAGCTTCGCTGGTGTGAACACCTCGTCTCGACCCTGGGGGAAAAGAGCGGTGTGAACAGGGGGGGGGGGGAAGAGCGGGGTATGTGGGGAGATGGGGAGTCTGGGGAGTTGCGAAGCGCAAAACAGCAACCTCTTCAGGTCACAAGGTCAATGGGAGGGAGGAATGAATAGTGGGGAAAGGATTGGGTATAGCAAGTAAGCCACAACGAGAGGAGCATGTTGGGATGGCGTTGGGGTGGGGGGCAAGGGAGGATTGGTAAAAGAAATTTCCAGCAAAATGACGCGAAACGAAAGAAACTGCTCTCCTATTCCCCCTTCCCTTTCTTCGCCTTCCCTCCCCCCTGGATTTCCCCTTCCCTTTCTTCCACCTCACCTTTACTCTGTTGGTTGGTTGCAGCATGAATGCACCCTCCCATGCCACACACGCCCCATCGCCTCCTCCCGAACCCCCACCCCCTCCTCCTCCCAACACACACACGCACACACAGATATACACACACACACGCACACACACGCACACACACGCACACACACGCACACACACGCACACACACGCACGCACGCACGCACACACACACTCACACACACACACACACACACACACACACACTCACACACACACACACACTCACACACAAAGATACCGACACACAAAGGGATCAAAGATACATTAAGACTTTCAGAAACCAACATCTCCAAGTGGCCTACATGATTCACAATGCATCACATTCAAATGCAAAAAAAAAAAAAACAAAGAACGTCTATGCACCCCAAAATTGACCCTTGGAACTATCAACAGGAGAGGAAGGGAAAATGGTTGGGCTAATCCTTGTCTTACGACAAGAAAACCTATCTTGTACCAACCCACCTGCCCAGATTTCCTTCCCCCCTCCCCCAGTCTCCCCCACCTGCACTCTTGTCTTTCCCCTCCCCCAACCCCCCCTTTCCCCACAGACCCCATCTCCCACCCTGGCTTCCCCACCTGCCATAGAATTCTTCTGCTAGTTCGACAGCGAAGGACAGCTTGGCTATATCCGCCTCCTTCACCTGTACGCATGCATGCATACATGCACACACATGCAGAACACATGCACATTTCCAAGCACACACACACACACACACACACACACACACACACACACACACACACACACACACACACACACACACACACACACACACCAGGAAGCGTCGACACAAAAGCAGGAGGTGTGTGAGGGCAGTGGGGGTCGCTGCGAGCAACACGGGATGAGAATGACATGGCCAGCACCTGACTCAGCATAGCTTGCGTCTGACTCAGCAAAGCTTGCGTCTGACTCAGCAAAGCTTGCGTCTGACTCAGCAAAGCTTGCGTCTGACTCAGCAAAGCTTGCGTCTGCCTCACTCAAAACCGTCTCTGCCAGGTTGTAGATGAGCACTGAGCTTAGCACCGTAGCGAGGGCGAATATCCTGCGCCATGGGGAAGGATGGGGGAGAGAACACCAGCGGAGGCCAGAGGGGGAAGAGTTGGGCAGAGCAGGGTGCACGGAAGGGCAGAGAGTGGCAGAGAGAGGGGAGTGCGAGTAATGTGAGGCAAGTGCGAGTGAAGGTTATTTAAGTGGTCAGCGAAAATATGGTGGTGGTGAGGCAGCGTGCAGCTGGGAGAGGAATCGAACGGGAGGGGAATGGTGGGGGGAGAAGAGACGGACGAAGGAAAGAGCTGCTTGGCGATGATATATATACATATATATGCATACAAAAAAACAACAAAACAAACATCCAGCACGCTGCGGCATGGAACACACGCAGCAGACGCAGTGCAACACATGCAGCACGCACGCGCACCTGTCATCGTAGACGGAGGACTTGCCGACGCTCTCAAAGCCCTCGGTGTCCAGGAAGAGCACCGATGTGGTCTGCCCGTTCACCTGCCTTTTTTAGAATCGACTCACGAGTTACTCGGCTGAAACCACGCGCACCTGTCATCGTAGACGGACGACTTGCCGACGCTCTCAAAGCCCTCTGTGTCGAGAAAGAGCACCGACGTGGTCTGCCCGTTCACCTGCATCTCCATTGGGTCGCCCCACACCCATATGCCTGCCAGCACCAAGGTTTACGAAAGTTGGAAAGGAAACTCAAATAATTCAAATCAAAAACAAAAACTTAAAGGTGAAAAGATCCCAAACGGTGAAAAACATCCCAACAGGTGAAAGAATCTCAGTAAAGGAAGAGAATCCTGAAAATAAAAAATGTGGGAAGAAGAATTGCACAAGAAGCACTCAACTGTTTCTCCCTCTTACATGGCCTGTCACTCACCCTTGGTCTTGGTGTCACGTGCATGCCCGACCCCGAACCCTGAAGAGAAAGTGCAAGCAAGGGTTGCAAGATGCGTGAGGAGGAGAGAAGCGATTGTGAGGGAGAGAGATGGATGAGATGAAATTGAATCGAATGGCTCGACAGACGGAGCATGATGTGAAACAGGGGGACAGACATGCCTTCATCGCACGTGAGTTGCGTTATGAGTCGACTAAAAACACGACTTGACAGATATGATGGAGCATGATGTGAAAACAGGGGAAAAACATACCTTCATCGCATGTGAGTGTAAGCAGCTGGTTGAGCAGGAAAGATTTGCCTGATCTGTACGGTCCAATCACCTGAGGAAATGGGATGGCAGAGACAACATGCAAAGCATGCACACATATGGGCACGCAAAATGTATTCAACACATACCATTCTTGGTTAGAGGCGGCAAGGCATGGATACGTTCAATGGGCCTGATGAGGGAAGAACGAATGACATGAAAGCAGCTTGGTGGTTCAGAATCAAACAAGCAAGCAGGCAGACATACATACCGCAACAATGACGATGGGATTCTTGATGCTTCTGGCCACGCTGAGACCCTCCTGAGACACCTTGAGCTGGGAGTTGTGCGTCAACTTCAAACACACATGGTATCAGGAGTAAGCAAGCATACATACCGCAACGATGGCGATGGGATTCTTGATGCTTCTGATAACGCTGAGACCCTCCTGAGACACCTTGAGTTGAGTGTTGTGCGTCAACTCCAGGGGATCAGGAGTAAGCAAGCATACATACCGCAACAATGGCAATGGGGTTCTTGATGCTTCTGATCACGCTGAGACCCTCCTGCGACACCTTGAGCTTCGTGTGCTTCGTGTCTGGCTGTATCACCGGGTACCTGCATGCATGAATCATGATTGTATGCATCATGATTGCATGCATGCATCACGATTGCATCCATGCACAGAGTTGAGTTGAGACATACATCATACATGAAAGGCATGACAAACGGAGGGAAGCACAGGATATTGGGTCAGTTGTTGCTGAGACACCTTGAGCTTCATGTGATTCGTCTCTGGCTGTATCACCTTGTACCTGCATGGATGCATGCATGACCTGGAGTAGCACGTCAGAATGTCTAAGACGGTATCACAAGTCATAGCATGTTTTACGTGCCATGCCATTGTACGGCATGGCATGCCTAAAACATTGTACGGCATGGCATGTCCTCTCGGTGAATTCAGTACCCACCCTCCCGTTCCATTCAAGCTGCTGACGGAGACGTGGATCAGAAATCCAACGGCCACCTTGTCTCCTTCTTCCCACGCTGGCACCAACAGAGCATTTCAAATCACACCTACCACCTCTCAAGATTTGAACCTGTCTCGGTTCTCGATTGCACACCTACCGCCACCACCTGTTCCCACTGAATTTATACACGGACATCGTACCGAGTCCTGACATGACATAAGCCGCCCGGTTCGCCACCATGTGTAGTCGAATGCCACATGAAACTTTAACTTTGCTAATTGCTGGGATCAGATGCTACCAGAAACCAGCCAAACTTAGCACGGACCTCGAGCCGACTCTTAGCCCGCACCTAGAGGCATCTGGTAAACATTCTATCCCCTTTAAATGCCTTTCCGATACCTAAGGACCTCATTCCTCTTCAGAGTGCCTAATTTCGTCCCAATATTATTGCATGCGGCTCGAAAAGCAGCTCCTTTGGAGGGAATCTCACTCGCTCGCCCCTCCTGCACGACTACTCACGCGCGACGATGCTTCGTGTCGCCGCTGCTTCGCCAAACTTCGCCATCGCCCGGTGTTCGTAAGTCGTCTGAAATTTCCGCATCCTGACCGGTGGCGACTCTAGAAGTTGAGGATAATAGTGCGAGTGTAACGAAGAGTAGCCTAACTAAAGCGCGGTGTGATGATCTGGCCATGGCACATGTAATCACAACTGCTCGACAGGTGAATTGTGTAGGTGTCCATTTTTTTAAGCCAGATATTTTTAGTTCCAAATTTAATCCACGGGGATGTAGCTCAGATGGTAGAGCGCTCGCTTAGCATGCGAGAGGTATGGGGATCGATACCCCACTTCTCCAAAGACACGTTTTCCCTTGTTTTCTGGGGGGTGTATTTGTACCATCCTAACAACTGTACGGGACTTTCCGCAAGCTCCCTCACTGCTTATGATTCAGTTACGGTACTTTCGGGGTGACACCAATATTTTGTGGACAGGTTCCGTCATGTGCACCAAAATATGTACAATGCAACAACATAAGGTCCTTCCTGACAGCGTATGATAGGGGCCATCTTGTCACTACTGCACTATACTGATGGAGTTACTCCTGACGACAGCATTCTGCAGTACAGATAAAGAAACAGGGTTGCACACAAACTTGGGGCAATTGGATTAACAGGGCAGTACACTCAATCCAACTCATTCCCGCCTGATCCAAGCACTTACCTCGTTCCCTCCCTACCGGCCTGGGCCTTTGTAAGCCACTCATTCACGACCCGACTTAAAGCCCCACTTGACGCTCAAACTGAAGTGGCCTGAGCGCTCTGAGCTGCTGGATGGAAAGAACTGCAGGGGTGACGGAAAGGAGGCTTGTGCTGCCGATGGCAAGGGATGTTCTTGTGGGAAAGGGCGTTGCTGTGGGAAGGGGGTTTGCTGAAAGAAAGGGGCTTCCTGAAAGTAGGGGGTTTGCTGTGGGAACGGTGTTCGAGGGACCGAGGTGAAGGGGCCTTGTGGGGCTGGTGAGAAGGAGGCTGGCTGGGCTGCTGCAATGGTCGCCTGAGGGCCTGCTGTGATGGGAGCTGTGAAGGGGGACTGCTGGAACTGATCTGTGTGAATAGGGCCATGGTCGCTCAAGGAGCAGCTGTTTGGATGGGAGATTGGTGCAGGCAGCACCGCAGTAGCATGGGCGTGTGGTGGGTGAGCGACCAACGCATGGCTGGATTGGAGGTGAAGTGGGTCAAGAGCAGGTCGCAATGGGGTCGGGGGAAGGACAGGTGGCGACAGGGACGGGGCTGGCATGGACGGGAGGGATGGTGCAGACGAGCCGTGCAGCATGCGGAGAACCACCTGCAGCACAGAGATAGAAACAGTTCAAAAAGCAGAATAAATCATACTAAAAATCGCATTTTGAGCCCAGCGATCGGCATGGATAGCAGACTAAACAATCTCAGAAGTCAGGTTTTGCTCCCTCGTAGCCTATCCAATCTTGCCCACTTCTATCCAGGCCTCCTTTTCCTTCTCTAATGCTCACGTCCCACCTTCCTCTTCTCACCTCTTTCGCCTCCCGGTACTTGTTCCAGTGACTTGCTGCAGGCCCTTTCTCCCACCCCCCTGGCCCTCCGTGGTATGCACGCACCACAAACTCCTCACTGCGTGCGCTGTTACACGAGGGGCGAGATGGGGGAAGAAGGTTATGGGTCACCCTCACTCAGGCCCTTTCTCCCACCCCCCCGGCCGTCCGTGGTATGCGCGCACCACAAACTGCTCACTGCGTGCACTGTTAGGAGGAGGGGGGGAGATGAGGAAAGAAGGAGTGCGCGTGAGCTTGCATGTGTGCATGCATGCACGTGCGTGCGAGAATCTGCCATTCCAACACAAGCTGAGATAGAACACTTAGAAACACTCCCTCACCTCAATTGTTTTGTTCCAAGGCCAGTGACAATGCACTCACATGCCCTTGTACGCGGTGAGCAATGCAACGTACAGCAGAGGAATGGCCTGACAGATGCCAACAAAGCCACGCAAAAGCCCGCACTCACACGCCCTTGTACGTGGTGAGCCATGCAAGGTACGCCATGCCGTAATAAAGGCCGGGAAACGGGCGGCGGGTCATGGAGGATGTCACATCAGTAGCGTAAGCCCGATACCCCATGTCCTTCGCCAGCCACTCGGCTGATGACTGCAGCACCTGCAGTCACAAGCACAGCAGCGCGGCAGCACGAGAAGAAAATGAACGAAGAAGCAGGTGAGTAGGCGCGCTATCACATGTCCCTCGCCAGCCGATCCGCTGATGACTGCTGCAAGCGCCCTTACAATCATGAGCCCAGTTCCAACACCTTTCTGACAACAGTCAAAGTTCACCCACCATCCACTCGCCGCCCTCGCTAAAGCACCCACCGCCAGCACTGCGCCACCCTCGCTGCCTGCCAGGCCTGTTGGCCACACCGGCTTACCATCATGAGCCCAGCTCCACCATCACGTTCATCACAGCACCCAACCTTCACCCGCCACCCACTCGCCGCCTTTGCTAAGGCTCAAACCGCCAGCACGACATCGCCCTCGCTGCCCGCCAGCCATGCGGCTTACCATCATGAGCCCAGCTCCAACACCTTTCTCGCAACGCCCGAGATTCACCCGCCACCCACTCGCCACTCTTGCCAAAGCACACACCCTCGCTGCCCGCCAGCCCTGTCGGCCCCACTGGCTTACCGCCATAAGCCCAGCTCCAACACGTTCCTCACAACGCCCGACATTCACCCGCCACCCACTCGCCGCCCTCGCCACGGCGCACACCGCCAGCACCGCGTCGCCTTCATTCCCCGCGAACCCTGTCGGCCACAACCGCTTGCACCGCCCGCTGAAGTGGCGGCGCATGAGAATGAGAACCGCCGCTTGGAGCTCTGCAAGTGGGGCGTGGGGGGGAGAGGGAGGGGGGGGAAGGGAGGGGGGGGTGGGGGACTTTCGCGGTGGCGCCTAAAAGTCGCTGAAGTGGCGGCGCATGAGAATGAGAACCGCCGCGTGGAGCTCTGCAAGTGGGGGTTGGTGGAGGAGAGGGAAGGGGGACGGGAGGGTGATATTTTCCGAAATTCTTAAAAGCAATCCGCATCATTAAGGGGGAGGGGAGGGTGATGTGCCTGACAGTGCTGGGACTCCTACCCGTATCTCCTTCCAGCACTCATTCATCCCTCGCACTCTTTTTCACACCCCCTCACACACCCCTCATGCACTCCATCACTCACCCCTCTGACCTGACTCACCCCATCACAAACTTCACTCTCCCCCACTCCCTCACTCGCTCCTCTCCTCCTCAATCTCTACCTTCGAGGCCGACGCACGGCTCTCTCTTGTCACCAATTGCCTCCGTAATGAACGGAACCTTCCAGGATGCGTCTCGCCTCGCCTCCCACAACAGCTTAACGCTCGGGTCGGCCCACATGGCTCGCATGTCGTCCGGACTCGTCCAGTCGTCCCAATAGACGACATCAGTATCACCGCGATCTCCGTGGTTATCCATGTAACCGTTGGGATGAACTTCTGACGCGCCTCAAAAGTCTTCGCAAATACTCGTGTAAGATTGGCTTCAACCGGTTGAGATTACCTTAAGAACTGGAGGGTGGAAGCTTATTCCAGGGTCTATTCTCGTCAGCCGGCATCGCGTTTTGGCGGGAAACCGTCTCCATAAGAGCCGTTTTGAGTCACTCGAGAAGGACCACATCTGATGGTGCGTGCATGTATTCTTCTGACAAGAACGTCTTCGGAATTGGTGAGCCAGGCGTTCGCGTCAGAAGCATACATGAGAGATTCGACTAGCAGAAAGCATTCCGAGGCGAGCGGCGACGCGGCTGCCGCGAGTTTGCACCGCAGCGCGCCGAACTGCGTGGTCGTCGAAGCATCTGCAATGAGTTTCGCTCGCGACGACGGATGGCGACGGCTTGCGACAGATGGCACTGCGGACAGCGAATCGCCGGAGATGCTGGTGGGAATTCGGCCCGTCGGCTGTGAAGCAAGCAGTGACTAGAGGGCGATGGCATGGTGCATGCATCGCTGGAGATGGGCGTTCGTCTTACTCGTGCAAGCCATTCGCGTGAAGCAATAGGGGGAAAGGGGGAAGATCTGCGAGTGCAACATGGAAGGGGGGATTGGCGGAGCAGGTTAGCGGACGAGGTCGGCGCTATGCGCGAGGCTGCATGAGGGCGTCGCACTATCCGCAACCACGGCCTTGGAATTACCGCCTGGTGTTCAGAATTTTTGCGTTCGAAGCGGCGCGCAGTGCCGCTGTTAGCCCAGCTGGGCCCCACAACACAAGCTGATTCAAGTGGAGCGATGAATTCTACGCGTTACAGTCAGTGTTCTACTTGATTTAGGATGAAAGCAGATCCTCTAAGTAATGAAGGATTAGAACCTTGCGAGACATGCGTTGGTCAATTAGTCGCGGAGGTCACCAACTTAGGGGCTTCCGCGCCTTGTCTGTCTTTTCGTGGCTCTGTAACCAATCATCGCTCGGGATTCGCCAATTCTCGGCAGGGACCCACCCAGGCTGTACGTGCTCGCGCCCGAAGGGCCTTCCCACCGAGCCCACTAGCGGGCGACTTTTTGAGTTGCGTTTCGAAATCGTGAAGTCGGACTCGCAAGATTCATCGCACGTTTTCCCCTGGCGAATTCCACAAAGGCAATTACCAGCAAAAGTTCGCCCTAATTTTTGCGCTCATACAGGACCACGGCTTCATGCAAGGAGGTGAGTGAGGGCGAATCCCGTCCACTACCTCCCCTCCACCACCTTTCACGCTTTCACAGGCGTGAGTTTCCCCTTCACCTGGGCCACCAGTCGCGACGCGGTGCATAGCGTGAAGCGTGAACCCCGTCCGCTTACCTGCTCCAAACAGTCTTCCTTGCACGCTTGCACAGGCGTGGGATTCGCCTTCTCCTACGGCCACTAGTGCCTGACGGTTTTCATGCAACCACGTGCATACCTGCTCCCCTCCCATTTCCTCCTGACACGCGTCGCAAGCCGACGAACGCGCATTTCCTCGATGCATGCAACGCGCATGCCACCGCCCCACGCTTCCGGTCACAGCCGACGGGCCGAATCGCCACGGCAAATGGCGATTCGGCGATGGCGATCCGAATGTGCTTCGTTCGCCAGAAGCGAGTCCACCGACAATTGGAATTGGCAATTGGCGATTCGGCCGCCGGGAATGGTCGATTGGCGATCCCGGTGTGCTTCTTGTCCGACGCTGTTGGAAGTGTGGGGGACGGGATTGCCCCCCACGCTAAGACCCCCCTTGACTCGGACCAAGGGGGGGTGTTTTCACGGAAGGTTGGGGTCGCCACGCAACCAAAGTTCGGCCATTTTCAGGTGCATGCAGCTTAGTCGAGGCGCGTTATTCAGGTGCATGCCAGGTTGCTTACACTTTTCTCAGGTTAAAAAATGTCTCTCGTAAATTAACACGCAGTTCAAGATTCGATTAAAATTGGCACAAAAGGTCTGAAATAGATGCAATTTCGGGCTACGCAAATTGGAATCGGAATGGTTGGCTCTCGATGCTGCATTTTCTGACGTAACTCAGTGCAATGATTGCATTTTGTCCAATTTATACGCAAATTTCTGCTTTGCACCAACTCATTTCGAACGAATCTAATGCTAGATCTGTTGTACTTTTGACGCAGATGACGGACGCTGCGCATGGCAAATCAGCAAACCCTTCGTGAGTGTTTGTATATTTTGCCTCTACCAAACTAAGTTTGCCGTACGTGCATATTGAAATAGGTGGTATTCAACGGCCTTAATTACGTGGCATTAAATATACATGTAACATACGATATATCCTTAATAGCGGTAGGGGTAACTCACTCTTAACACTCGGGCATATTTATCGTGTTTCGGACTACCCTTTTCAAGCAATGCACGTCCCACTAGAGTTTGCTGATTTGACCCGCGAAGCGTCCGCCACCTGCGCCAACAGTACAAACGATTTAGCATTACAATCCGTTCAAAAAGATTTGGTGCGAAGCAAAAAATTGCGTAGAAACTGGGCAGAAATGCAATCATTGCACTGAGTTACGTCAGAAAATGCAGCATCGAAAGCCAATCATCCCGATTCCGATTTGCGTATTCCGAAATTCCATCTATTTCAGACCTTTTGTGTCAATTTTTATCGAATCTTGAACTGCGTATTCATTTACGGGAGAAATTGTTTAACCTGAGAAAAGTGTACGCAACCTGGCATGCACCTGAATAACGCGCCTCGACTAAGCTGCATGCACCTGAAAATGGCCGACCAAAGTTCACCCGGTTGGGTCCGAAACTTTGTGGGGGCTACACTTGGCAGCCCCACAAGCTCTCACGAAAATAGCGAGAGTTCTAGCGAAGGTTTTGAACCATTCGCTACACTCGCTACCACTTCGTGTAACACACGCATTTGGTGTGTTGAAATGAACTCGGCAAGGTCCGAACATGTGAGCGCGGAGGTCGCGGAAATTCGACGTCCCAAGTCCAAATTTCCGCGAGTCGCGCGCGGTTCGATGTTACAATTGAGATTGCATGTTTTAGATATAAATTCCAGAGAGGAAACAGAGAGTTCATGCCTTCCAAGACTTGTGTACCCATCTCCATATTATAAGCAAGTTCTCTCTCAATTCTCGGGCGTTTTCAGTGATTCAAAGTGCTACTGCTTCGTTGCTCCGAGCCCGTCGTATCGATCCTAGGCTCTGCCTCTAGCTCGCCAAGTTAATTCTGTGGCGCTAGCTAAACAGAGGCGGATTCTTTCAGACGCTAGGGGAAATAGGTTTCCAGCGAGTCCCCCCACGAGAAAAGACTCTGCAATCAGCTCTAGTAGATCTGAGATTCCTCTCAGCCGGATAATCGCGGAGACTGTTCAGGCGCGTCCGAAGTTCATTCCAACGGTCACATGGCTAACCAGAAGGTTTACTACTGGGACGACTGGACGAGTTCCGAAGACATGCGAGCCATGTGGGCGGATCCGAGGGTCAAGGAGCAGTGGGAGTTCCGGCGCGACTCGACCGGGAAAGTTCCGTTCGTGATGAAGAAACTTCGCGGCGAGATGGTGCCTTACCTCACCTTCGAATGTAAGTGATAGCTTGGAAGAGAGGAGAGGAGAGGAGGAGAGAGGAAAAAATACCTCCCTTTTTTCATCCCCTCCCCGCCAAAAATCATATATTTCATCCTACTAATACACCTCCCACCCCCCGCACCCTTCCCCCTACCCCCCGATGCCTTTCCTCAGAGGTGCACGCGGTGGCTTCGATTCTCGAGCGCCGCCACTTCAGCAGCGAGCGCAAGCGGTTGTTTCCTGAGGGCCTGACGGGCGAGGGAGGCGCAGTAGGGGCGGTGCTGCTGGTGAAGGGGTGACTCAGGACTCGCACAATCACACCCATCCTCCGTCTTCGTGTTCCCCCTCTCCCACAGAGGTGCACGCGGTGGCTTCGATTCTCGAGCGCCGCCACTTCAGCAGCGAGCGCAAGCGGTTGTTTCCTGAGGGCCTGGAGGGTGGGAACGACGTGGCGGCGGCGGTGAGTGGGCTGGCGCGCGTGGAGAGCTCGTGGCAGCTCACGGCGTGTCGCTGGGAGACCCGGGAGTACAGCACTGGACTCATGCAGGTATGGGCGGACTGGGGCAGTCATTAGAAGCAGGTGCGGCGTGTCGCGCGTGGAGAGCTCGTGGCAGCTCACGGTGTGTCGCTGGGAGAGCCACAAGGGGGAGGCCAGCTCTGGACTCATGCAGGTATGGGCGGACTGGGGCAGTCTTTAGAAGCAGGTGCGGCGGGGCGCGCGTGGAGAGCTCGTGGCAGCTCACGGCGTATTGCTGGGAGAGCCACAAGGGGGAGGCCAGCTCTGGACTCATGCAGGTATGGGCGGACTGGGGCAGTCTTTAGAAGCAGGTGCGGCGGGGCGCGCGTGGAGAGCTCGTGGCAGCTCACGGCGTATTGCTGGGAGAGCCACAAGGGGGAGGCCAGCTCTGGACTCATGCAGGTATGGGCGGACTGGGAGAACTAGGTACGGGCATTGTAAGAACAGATTTGTTTCAAACGTCTTACACCCCCGAGCCCTGAAACGTCTTACTACTCTCATGTTTCCCATCAGATCTCCTGCCGGCTGCTGGAGGTTCTGCAGTCAAGTCACCGAGGATTGGCTTACAAAGGCCACAGGGGGAAATCGCACCTGCGCCTTACATCGATTATGTTACCATATCAATCCTGTTACGATTATGTGTGTTTCGTTTGTGCTTCCGGTGTTGCCCACTGCAGGTGCTGCAGTCAACGGCAAAGTAGCTGGAACCGGACATGGTGACTTTTGAGTCGACTTCCGAGTCAGACTTCTGAGTCGACTCAAAAGTCACCTTGTGTTACACACTGACAGGTGCTGCAGTCAACGGCAAAGTAGCTGGAAGGGGACATGGGGTACCGTGCCTACACGTGTGCCCGTTCAATCGCTTTTTTCTTGTGCTGCCGTGCTGTTGTGTTGCCAACTGCAGGTGTTGCAATCAACAGCAAAGTCGCTGGAGGCCCAGGGGTACAACGCCTACATTGAGACTGCACACAATTCCTTCCTCTAGCGCCCGTTCGAGGCAGTGTATTACGGCATGGCGTACCTCTCGTATCTCTCCCACTATGAGGGCATGTGAGTGCAGGCTTTTGCATGCTTGGGATGTCATTTGTTGTCCCGACCTCTATCGCGTGAGTGATGTGTGTGATGGGTGTGATGATTGTGATCTGTGTATGTTTGCACTCTGCGGCCGTAGCACGCTCACACACGCAACACGTGCGTCACCCTCCTCCTTCCCCCCTCCCACTACAGCCCGCACAGCGAGGAGTCTGTGGTGCGTGGATACAATGGCGGGCCGCGGGGGATTTATAAACCCGCTACAGAACCATACTGGAACAAGTACCTGGAGGCGAAAAAGGTGAGGATAGGAAGGGGCAGGAGGGTGGGGTGTGAGACAAGAGTGTGGTATGGGTGGGACTGTGGGAGACACCATTTTACCCACTGCACGGCATCTACCCTGCAAGGCACTGGAGCAAGTATCTGGAGGCTCATGAGGTGAGGGGAGGAGGATGGGGAGTGGGATGGTGAAATAAGATTGGGAAAGATCGTCTGCAGCAAGGCACTGGATCAATTTCTTGATGGCGAAAGAGGTGAGAGAAGGTGGGGCAATGTGGGGGGATGGAGAAGGAAGAGCAACATATTGGAACAGGGGGATTGCATTCGTGGATAGAAAGGGGCAGGATTGGATAGGCTAGCAAAGCGATATGAGCAACACCTTGGAGAGGAAGGGGTCCCTAGAGGAGGTCTCTAAAAGGGGACCCTAGTAGTGATGTTCAATGCATCTTCCTTGAAATCTTCTGTGTGTTCACTGCTGGGCCGGTTTCTGGATTCTGATTCCCTCTACCCGATCTGATTTGATCTGTTCTTCTGCAGGAGTTACGCCCCATGCTCCGCTCTAACGTGGTATCGCCCCAGCAGCTTGAGGTCTCGTTCCCTTCTTCCCACTCACGCGTCACGCCACATGTGCGGGTGGCCATGGCATCCCCTAAGAACATCAGCTTTTCTGTCGGTTTCAGATATTCGCTCCCCTAAGAACATCAGCTTTTCTGTCGGTTTCAGATATTCGCTCCCCTAAGAACATCAGCTTTTCTGTCGGTTTCAGATATTCGCTCCCCTAAGAACATCAGCTTTTCTGTCGGTTTCAGATATTCGCTCCCCTAAGAACATCAGCTTTTCTGTCGGTTTCAGATATTCGCTCCCCTAAGAACATCAGCTTTTCTGTCGGTTTCAGATATTCGCTCCCCTAAGAACATCAGCTTTTCTGTCGGTTTCAGATATTCGCTCCCCTAAGAACATCAGCTTTTCTGTCGGTTTCAGATATTCGCTCTAGTATGTGTAGAGGGAACATTTCTTGACTGTTACGAAGTCTGGAACTTGATATACCGTAATCCTTCGTATATAAGACCCTAGGGTCTTATGATAATCACCCCTAAAAAGGCTGGGGGGTATATTTAAATAGTATATTTTTTAGAAGACCGGGTCTTTTCATTTTGACATTTATAAGAATGTAGTCTGGAGCTCAAATTGTACATTCCAGTCTCGTTATGTCAATCAAATCGGAGAGGCCCTGAAACAGAATCGCGTGAGGGCGATTCTCTGACGCTGCACAGAGCTTTGGCACGTCAAATTGCCCGCGTGCCAGCTCATCCTGACTGGACGCGCAACCAGTCAGGACCCCGAAAGTCAAACAAAGTGAAAATGGGTGCTGATTCGCTTGAAAATCGAATCTCGCTACCGTTTCAATCAGGTATGAAAAACAAAAATATGCATGCGCTTATAATAGAACAGGGTTTTACAGAGGGGGGGGGGGGGGGGGGGGGGGGGGGCTTATAATTGAGTTTCGGATGTGCTTTCATGGGTGCGATTTCTCTTAATCAACATGGAATATGACCATTTTCAATTGCATTTGTGTAAAATCCGCTCCTCTAGGATGTGGGGGGGGTCTTATAATGTTAGGAGCCATTTAGGGGGGTATAACTCAGATGTACTCGAATAGAGTACCCGGGTCCGTATTATAGACCCGGGGGTCTACAACTGGGGGGGGTCCTATATTCGGGGGATTACGGTAGCTGTACATGAACGGAATTGTTCTTACGGAAGCTTGTACCGTACTTGGTTGCTGTACATAGACTTTGCTTGTACATAGAGGAGAGCTTCTCTTCATTGTACATAGTGCATGGTAATGAGAACTTTGTGTCACATGCAGGGTGTGGTTACAATGGTCTTACAGGAGAATTATCTTCAAGGAAAGAGCAGAAAATACCGTATGACACTCCCAGACCCAGTACCAGTACTACGGCAGTGGTTGGAGAAGTAAGATACCAATCCTCCTCACATGCTGTACGTTCACATGGTGTGATAAAAAGACTGAATTTTGTCGCTACCTGGTTTCCACATACTGTTACGAAAAGAAATCAAAACAGGAAGAAATGCAGACAAGAAAAAACCACCTTACACCAGAAAAGCTGGTTACTCAGACCTGGTACACACAAGAACACAAAGAGTTCGCTTGATGCAAACACACAAGGGAGAAGCTGCAGCGTGGCGTGATCCATTATCAAACCAGGCCACATTCCCACAACATTATCCTGCAATGGGGTTATGGGACGGGATACACCGATAAAAGCACGTCATGTCTGCAAGCTACCAATACGCCCACTTGCAATATGCAATAAAGAGTGCCAGTAAGCTCATACCTGTTGGCTGTCTCGGTCATTCCACTACCAACCCACAGCCTCCCTCCTTGCCAAGGACAGGAGGAAATGTGCTGGGCGAACCACCCAAGCCAACTGCATCCAGCCGCATCCAACCGCTCCAACCACATTTTTGGAGTCAAATAAAAGCAGCTGCCTCACTTGCAGTTGCCTCACTTCTGCAGTCTAAGCGCACCCAGATTGCCCAGGAACCGCCCCTTGGGAGCAGACTCAGTCGCAGGGGCTGCAGGAGATGGGGGGTTGTCATTGCTGGAGGGACTTGGAAATTGACCAGAACTGGCTGCCTCACTTTGGCGGTCTGAGTGCACCCAGGTTGCCCAGGAACCGCCCCTTGGGAGCGGACCCAGTCACAGGGGCTGCAGGTGGAGGGGGTGCGTCATTGCTGGAGGGAGTGGGTGCTTGTGGGGGTGATGGTGCTGCAGCAGGTGGCGGGTTTATACTGACGGGAGGTTGCTGTGTTGGGGGTGGTGAGTCGTTGACAGGGGGGTAAGGAGGCTGTGAGATGGATGGATAAAGAGGTCGAGGGGCGGAGGGGTAGGGAGGTTGGGGGATGGAGGGGTAGAGGGGTTGTGGGGCAGAGGGATGGGGAGGTTGTGAGAGAGAGGGGTAGAGGGGTTGAGAGGGAGAGGGATAGGAAGGTTGGGGGGCAGAGGAATAGGGAGGTTGGGAGGGAGAAGGATAAGAAGGTTGGGGGGGAGAGGGATAGGGTTGTTGGGAGGGAGCGGGATAGGAAGGTTGGGGTACAGAGGGATAGGAAGTTCGGGAGGAAGAAGGGTAGGGAGGTTGGGAGGGAGAGGAATAGGAAGGTTGAGGGGCAGAGGAATAGGGAGGTTGAGGGGCAGACGGATAAGAAGGTTGTGGGGCAGAGGGGAAGGAAGGCTGTGACGCAGAGGGGTAGGGAGGTTGTGGAGCAGAGGGGTAGGCGGGTTGACGGGCTGCTGTGGGTGGCACGGGTGGTGGGGCATACATAGGACTAGCGGCGTCCTTGACTGGGGGAGAAGGTGCCTCAGGGGAGGTACTTTGAGAGGTAAAAGGGAAGGCAGCAGGCGGGGCTGTTGCATAAGGTGCTTGTTGGGTTGACTGGAAGGGTGCTTGTGCTTGTGGGGCTGCTGGTGCAAATGGTGGTTGTGGGATGGGCGAGTTGCCTGCTTGAGGTTGACTGACAGCGGCTAGATTGCCCAAGAAGCGTCCCCCTGGGGCGGACGTGGGTGCAGCAGCAGACCAGGCAGGGTTGGCAGGTGGAGCAGGATTGAGAGTTGTGGCAGGATTGAAAGTTGGATGTGTGGGTTGTGGTATGGACGGGAAGGGGAATCTGGTTGGCGATTGAGATGGTGCTGCTGACGTGGCCAGCACGGATGGTGCAGATGTGCCACGTGGCATGCGCAGTATCTCCTGCAACACAAATAGGTCGGAGAAAAAAACAGATTCGCTTGAGGAAAGTCGAGCAACCGGTGCAGTGAAGTAGCGAGACAAAGAGAGCGGTCCTTTCGGTGCTTCTCTTTACTCCACCAGCCTTTCTTCGAACGTGAGAAACATGTCAACGTGCCAGCAACATTCCTCATCTCTTTTTGGCATCCTCCCTTATCTATCCACGTTTTCTGTGCCTCACACCCCACCCTCCTCTCACCTCCTTCGCCAGGAGGTACTTGTTCCAGTGCCTAGCTGTAGATGGCTTCTCCCATCCCCCTAGCATTTTCCAAGGCTCAATCTGTGAGTCATCTCAAACCTCCCGCACACACCCCACCCTCCTCTCACCTCCTTCGCCAGGAGGTACTTGTTCCAGTGCCTAGCTGTAGATGGCTTCTCCCAACCCCCTGGTCCGCCATTGTATGCTCGCACCACATACTCCTCACTGCGCGTGCTGATATAAGTGGGAGAGAGGGGTGGGCAGGGGGGAACGGCATGTCATGTGTGTGTTGGTATGTGCGTGCGCGCGTGCGTATGTAAGCGCGCAGCGAGAGTGAGTTTGCTCCCGCACATACAGAAAATCCAGCATACAACACCAGTTTTTGCCCTTATAGCTTGTGAGACATGTCCAATTACATGCCCTCGAACGAGCGGTAGATCGAATGGACAATTAACAAAACCAGAAACCTGTGAAAGCAAGCACTCACGTGCCGCTATAGGTGGTGAGCCATGCGAGGTACGCCATGCCATAGTACATGGCCTCCAAGGGGCGGTAGAGCAAAGGAACAGCAAGCAAATGACATCTAAAGCATGGAAAAGCCTGCAAAAGCCGGCACTCACGTGCCCTTGTACGTGGTGAGCCATGCGAGGTACGCCATGCCGTAGTACATGGCCTCGAAGGGGCGGTAGAGCATGGAGGAGGACCAGTCTATTGTGTATGCACGGTACCCCATGTCCCTCGCTAGCCACTCCGCTGACGACTGCAGCACCTGCAGTCACAAGCACGGCAGCAGGGTAAAGGTGAGGTAATGAGGAGGTTGGTGTGTGTGTGGGCAAGTGAGTCGGCGCGGTACCCCATGTCCCTCGCTAGCCACTCCGCCGACGACTGCAGCACCTGCAGAAGGCAGCAGCAAGGAATGCAGGAAACGGTTAGTCTGACACGCGGGGGCCAGTACTTGGGACTCGGCACTCGAAGCTCGGAACTTGGGGGTGCAAGACGTTTGACAGCAAGATTTTCAATCGTGTACTCGATTTGGTTGCCGCCAAATGTTGGTGGCCTGTCCATGCGCTAAACATGAAGCCTGTCGCACCTGCTTCCCACAACCGTCCCCACCGCACCTGCATGAGCCCAGTGCTCGCCTCCCCAAGGCGGGGCTCGAAGCGGTACGCCAGGGGCTGCCACGCGCTCTCCACGCGCGCCACGGCGCACATGGCCAGCACCGCGTCGCCTTCATTTCCCGCGAACCCTGTCGACCACAACCGCTTGCCCCGCCCGCTGAAGTGGCGGCGCAGAAGAATTAACGTCACTCCTTGTAGCTCTGTAGAAAGGCATTGGGAGTTTCAAGATGAAGAATGAGTGTCATTCCGTGAAGATATGGGGGAAGGCATTGCAGGTTTCAGATTAACGGTGGGCGTCAGTTTGCGCGGCAGCTATAAGGAAAGCATTGGGGGTTTCGGATGACGAATGAGCGCCAGTTTGCGCACATTCAAGTGTACGGCACGAGCTTGTCGCCGACCCGCTGCAAGGTGAAAGATGAGCGGCATACCGTGCAGTCATGGGGGAAAGCATAGAGAATTTCAGATGAGAAATGAGCGCCCATTTGTGCACCTTCAAGGCCGATGTAAGGCACGAGCTTGAGTAATAAGTCGATTATTTAGTCGACTCAAAATGAAAGAATGCGCGTCCTTTTGTGTGCACCTTCAAGGCCGATGTACGGCACGAGCTTGTCGCCGACCCGCTTCATCTCGAACGGAACCTTCCCCGATGCTTCTCGCCGCCGCTCCCACACCGTCCGAACGCCTGGCAGGTCCCACATGGCTCGCATGTCGTCGGGACCCGTCCAGTCGTCCCAATAGTAGCCATGATGCGAATGAGTAGGCGCGCGACGATCCATGCGTCCCGGGAGATTGAATCTAGATCCTGGACCGAAATTGAATCCGGATTTGATCCTTGTCAGCGGCTGTCGCGCTTGGCTGCAGGTTCTGCTCGTAGTTTCAGGAGCGGGCAGACGAAGCGGAAGAAGAGTTTTCTGCAAGGCGCCTCGGATGGAAGCACCTGAATTAGGTGAAAAAATAGACGGCGTTGAATCTTGCTGACGCAATAAAAATCTCCTACTGAGTCGTGGAATGCACGGCGCGCTGAATGTCGAGTTGGCCGCACGAAGCCGTAAAGTCTGGATCTCGCGACAACGGAGTGCGACGGATACTGGCGTGGCCGTCAGTCGTCCATCGCTGGACACGCTGCTGAGAAGGGGAGAAGCGGAAAAGCTAACGGTCCGCATACACGACATCCGCTTCAACAAGAAAATGGTGCGGATAAGGTTCTTCGAAAAAGTAGCCGAAGCCTGTGCAGGAGAACGGCTCTCGACTTTGAACCGAGGACGCTACTAGAATGGTACTAGAATGGTAGCCTACCATGAGTGTGTGGACTAGAAGTCAGCCGAAACTCCCAATGCTGAATGCTGCAAAGCTCGGACTGGGAAATTCGGCAGAATCAGGTCGTGTCCGTAGGGATGACATGTCAAAGCGGGCAGTGTCAATTTGGCATTTTGACACTCAGCCAACATTGTTGGCAGGGTGTCAAGAAATTGCATGTTGCCATCCAATACAAATCGTCGGACACTTTCTAAATTGGCACAGTCAAACCTACAAACGAGAGAAGATGGTCGCAGGTGCCTATCTCACGACCAGATGCTGCCCAATCAGCACACAATCTGTCTTTTGAATTGTTCGCTACCTGGCAGATCCACCCATGACAAATTCTCAAACCAATGAAATTCCGTCGCTGATGTTCGTACATGCGCTTCGACTTGACACTTCAGCTACAATGTTTGACACGCTAATTTGAATGATCTTCGGATTGACACGCCCTCACTTGACATGTCAAGCCTACGGACACGAACTCAAGAAAAGACGGAAGCTCGGACTACGCACATCGAACGGTTTCCGTCTAGTTCCGTCAATTTGCTTTGCTTCCTTCATCGATCTGGACCAGACCTGTCGATTCACGGACATTTGTCCGTTTTCCCTGAGAATTCAGGGCTAGTTGAATCTAAGCTCAGAGATTTTCAGGATTTGTTTTCCCTTGGCCCGGATTCCTAACGGACAGCATTGGATGATTTTCTCAACCGGTCATTTTTCAGACGAATCGAAACAGTCCTTTTGCAACCGGTGATACGAAATTCGTTTGTGAAGTGCTGGAAAAAATGGGGGGTCTGGAGGATCTTTCGATGTTCGACGACCAACGTTCATTGAAATACCTCGTTATAGCTTTGTTTTTGACAGTAGAACCTTCGTATAGCGGAGTCGTTTAGAAGATTACCCGTTCATTACTTGTACCCGTAAAATTACACCTCATTTTGAAGCATAGCCCACTGTCATTATGGGGCATGGCTATGATTCTGCTGCAAGCACTACCTCGTTTGTAAGGTGCTCCCCCGCAAATTCGTCGCTGAAGGGTGGGCAATTCCTGGGAGAGGCAAATTTTCTAAAGGAAACATTTTGAAGGGTATGGAGATTTTCGACAAACACGATCATTAAATACCTCGTTATAGCTCAGTTTCCGACAGTAGAACCTTCGTATAACGGAGTCGTTTAGGAGATTGCCTATCACTCTATTGTACCCGTGAAATTACACCTCCTTCTAGAACATACCCCACCGTCATTATGGGGCCTGGCTATGATTCCGCTGTAAGCACCACCTCGTTCGTAAGGTGCTCCCCACAAATGCGTCGCTGAAGTATGGGCGATTCTTGGAAGAGGCAAATTTTCCAAAGGAAACATTTTGAAGGGTATGGAAGATTTTCGAAAAACACCACCAATAAATACCTCGTTATAGCTCAGTTTCCGACAGTAGAACCTTCGTATAACGGAGCCGTTTAGAAGATTGCCCGTCACTTACTTGTACCCGTGAAATTACACCTCCTTCTAAAGCATAGCCCACCGTCATTTTGGGGCGAGGCTAGATTCCGCCCCAAGCACCACCGTGCGTTATCCGCAAATACGTCAGCGAAGATTTTCACACTCACGTAGTTTGTTACCGTTTGTCGCCGTTTTCGTAACAATCGTTCAGTTTCGTGACATCTACCCATCGTCACGAGCACAACCTCCGCTCAGCCCGTTGCTCTCCCCTCTTCCTCCTCTTCCCCAAGCCTCGCGTTGCTGAAGCGACGAGCCTAGTCGTTCTCATATCGAAGTCCGGTCCCTTACCAGAATAGGCTCGGATCAGGTCGCCGCACAAGACTCCTGACGGTCGTCGTGCAAATTCTTCAATTCTTGAATAAAAAAATCCACGGTATAGAAGCCATGGGTCTGTCGCAGAAGCACGTGTTGAATCTCCACATGGGATCGGCGCCCGTGTCGGCCACGCTCCATCCGTCCGTTCTCTTCAGCATCTGCGACTCGTTCATTCGCCGCAACGAGGACACGCAGCGCGTCATCGGATCGCTCCTAGGAGTCGTGCATCCCGACGGCACTGTAGACATCCGTAACGCGTATGCCGTCCCCCATAACGAGATCAGCGACACGGTACGAACCAGTCGCCGCTGGCCCTTCCGATTCAGCCACACACGCTATATTGGCTAGTCATTCCAGCACATAGCGGTACCTCTTCCAAATTCTTGAGATTGCCGTTGGACTAGGAACCCTGCCAAACCCTCTCATTTGTCGGGTCGCTCTCATTCGTTCCAAGGAAAGGCTGGCAATGAAACGAGAGGGTAGAGTGAAAATTGCTTCAATGAAACGGCGCCGACAGAACAGAATTCTGGTGTTCCTTCGTCCCGTTCTGGGTCTGAAGGGCTTTCTACACCTGGCGCACCTGAGTTGTTTCGCTATGGCGTTCCTTGCTAACGCATTTTAATTCTTCGCTGCCCCGTGATGCCCGCCGCAGGTTGCGCTGGACATCGAGTACCATCGCACCATGGCGGAGCTCAGCCAGCGAGTCAACCCCAAGGAGACCATCGTCGGATGGTGAGTGTTACGAATGTGCTTATAACGAGAGACGAATTAGCGAGTCAAACCCAAGGAGACAATCGTCGGATGGTGAGTGTAACGGATTTGCTGATAATGAGACCCAGGGAGGCGATTGAGGGATGGTGGGCGTAACGAAAGTGCTTACATGCTTATTGGGTCGGTTACTTGCGAGACTGCGAGTGGTTTCGAGGACAACCAAGGCAGTGCTGTGGGAGTGGTGGGGTTGACTTCTGACGAGGGTGGTTGTGCAATTGTCAGTTGAAAATAGGCCCCCCCCCCTTTCCATCCTCCTTCCCCTCTTTCTCCCCTTTCCCGTCCTCCCGTACGCCTTGTTGTTTTACCCCACACACTCCCTCGTTCTCCCATCCACCCATTCCCCCTCCCCCGCACTTCACCATCCACCTCACCATCGACACCACCTCTTCCCCCTCCCTCACACTCTTACTCCCTCAGGTACTCCACCGGCTCTGGTGTGAGCCCATTCGACGTGCTAATTCATGACTTTTACACCAAGGAGGCGGGCCATCCCATCCGCCTCACCATCGACACCACCTCTTTCCCTTCGCTCATACACACACATCCCTCACAGGTACTCCACAGGCTCGGGCGTGAGTCCCTTTGACGTGCTAATCCACGATTTCTACACCAAGGAGGCGGGCCATCCCATCCGCCTCACCATCGGGGCGGGTTATCCCACTGACAGCTGTCTTGTCCCCATACAATCCCTTCCCGCCGGCAGGTACTCCACTGGGTCCGGGGTCAGTCCCTTTGATGTTTTGATTCACGACTTTTACACCAAGGAGGCGGGCCACCCCATCCACCTCACTCTCACAATTCACCTCTTCCCCTGCACACACTCTCATACTCATACATACACCCTCAGGTATTCCACTGGGTCCGGAGTCAGTCCCTTCGATGTGTTAATTCATGACTTTTACACCAAGGAGGCGGGCCACCCCATCCACCTCACCATCGACACCACCTTCCAGTCGCTCGCTTCCGGCCAATCAGGAGGCGCCACGTCAGCGGTGCGCGCGTACGTGTCGACGCCGCTGTTCATCGGCGAGAAGCAGCTGGCGGCGGCGTTTCAGGAGATCGAGGTGGATATGAGGATGGCCGACGCAGAAAAGATCGGATGTGAGTGAAGGGTGTGTGAGATTGCAAGGGGGAAAGGGGCTTGTATACCCATGGGCCATGGCATGGCTGTTCATTGGCGAGAAGCAGCTGGCGGCGGCGTTTCAGGAGATCGAGGTGGACATGCGCATGGCTGATGCTGAGAAGATCGGATGTGAGTGAAAAGGGGGATGTGTAATGCGGTTGGTCGGGTATCGGGGTGGCGGTCGGGGTGTGTTTGGGGTGGGGGTGGGGATGGGGGTTGAGGGTGGGGGTGGGGTTGGGTTTGGGTTTGGGGTTACACCTACCTCATGACCTCATCTGTTCCCGCCCCTTGCTTGCTTTTCACATACATCCCTCGCTTGACACTCTCCAATTGTCAACCTGCACCGCACATCAGTGGAGCGGACATGGAAGGGCTGGAAGCCACCATGGGACGACCGTGGGGCGACTGTATGATCCTTGCAACCCCCTCCCCCCTCCCTCCCTACCCCCCTTCCTATCCCTTCCCTTCCCGTCCCCCCTCCAGTTGACAACCTGCGCAGGACAAGTGTGGAGCGCCTACCAGCGGACATGGAGGGGCTGGAGGCCACCATGGGACGACTGCAGGGCATGGTGGATGGGGCGCTGGTGTATGCGACTGATGTGGTGGTGAGTGGTGTGGTGTTATTGTATTGAACTGAAGGCATTGTGTGACTGTAACGAAGGCATGGGGCGGCTGCAGGGCATGGTGCATGGGGCGTTGGCGTATGCGACTGATGTGGTGGTGAGTGGTTGTTTTAGATTCAAGGCATGACGTGACTGTAGCGAGGGTATGCACTGTGCAGGATGAAATGGGGTTGTAGTGAGGGTGTGCCGCGTGCCTTTGTGCCCCTGTCCTGTGCGACTCTGCATGTCCAAATGCTTGTCTGCTGCATTGACGTTCCGTTTACACGTGGGTGTTCCGTTTGTGCATGCTCTCTCTTGCTGCATTGACGTTCCTGTATGGCTGCGTGTACGCATGCAGACATGCCTGCATTCATGCTACTAAAGACTCATGTGCCATTCTCGCCCCTGTGCGTGCGAGCAGGAGGGCAAGAGGGAGGCGGACAACGAGGCGGGCAGGACGCTGTGGGACGCCGTGGTAGCGGTGCTGCGAATCAGCACAGAGGCCTGGGCTTGAATGCTTGCATGGCTTCCGTGGCTGCACGTCTGCTACTTTTTGCACACATGTCTCACTTCTCTGCGCCTTTTTGTTCTCTCCGTGCTGCCCCTGTGCGTGCAAGCAGGAGGGCAAGAGGGAGGCAGACAACGAGGTGGGCAGGGCGCTGTGGGATGCAGTGGCAGCAGTTCCGCGCATCAGCACAGAGGCCTTTGACCGGCTCTTCAACAACAGCGTGCAGGTGAGAGTGAGAGAGGTGCAGGTGGGTGCAGCAGTTGTGGCGGCAGTGTCGCAGCAGATCAGCTCAGAGGCCTTCGACCGGCTCTTCAACAACAGCGTGCAGGTGAGAGTGAGAGGGGTGCAGGTGAAAGGGGCGAGCACAGGTGTGCATGGGGCATGGGTGGGTGGGGGCTGTAAGACATGGTGTGTATGGCAGCAGTGATAGCTGTGGGATGCTGTGGCAGCAGTGCTGCGGACCAGCTCAGAGGCCTTCGACGGCTCTTTAACAACAGCGTGCAGGTGAGGGTGAGAGGGGTGCAGGTGAGAGGGTCACAGATGAGAGCCACCCACATGCACATATCCATGGGGAATGGGTTGGTGAGGGATGTACGACATGGTATACATCACAGCAGTGGCAGTGCTGGCATGGCATGTTCACTCCTCTCTCACTCACTCACTTTCCTCTCCCTGTTGGCATTTCTCCCGCTGCAGGACATGCTTCGGGTGTAGTAGCTGACTCTCTCGCCGACTCTCTCACTCTCCTCTCACCCCATTGCAGAACGTGCCCCCTGTGCTGTATTTGGCCAACCACACTCCCTGCTTTCTCACTTGCTGTTCTCACCTCTCTCACGCACTCTCTCGCTCACTCACTCTCCGCCCCCTTCATGGCAGGACGTGCTTCTCTGGCCAACCTCACTCTCTGTTTTCCCTCCTTCACCCGTTTTTCAATCTCTTCTCTCCATTGGTCTCCACTTCCCCCCACTGCAGGACGTGCTTGTAGTGCTGTACCTGACCAACCTCACTCTCCAAATCTCACTCTGCTTTCTGTTTCTCACTCTCCTCTCCCCATTGCCACCCCCCCACCCCCCCATTGCAGGACGTGCTTTTGGTGCTGTACCTGGCCAACCTCACTCTTAGCTTTCTCCCCTTCTGTTCTCACTTCTCACTCACTCGCTCACTCACTCTATGCTCTTTCTCCTTCCCCCCATTGCAGGACGTGCTTCTGGTGCTGTACCTGGCCAACCTCACTCTCTATTTTCCTCCTTCACCCGTTTCTCAATCTCTTCTTTCCATTGGTCTCTCCTCCCCCCCTCTGCAGGACGTGCTTCTGGTGCTGTACCTGGCCAAGCTCACTGTTGAAAACTCACTTCTCTTTCGGTTTCTCACTGTCCTTCCCCCGTTGCCCCCACCCTTTTCCCCTCCCCCCCACCAACTGCAGGACGTGCTTCTGGTGCTGTACCTGGCCAACCTCACCCGCGCGCAGCTGGCACTAGCAGACAAGCTCAACACAGCCGCCCAACAACTGTAGCTCACCACCCCACTCTCTTGCTGGGTGGGGTAGTACCATGTTACTACATCTTGACAATGGCACCTGGCACTAGCGGACAAGCTCCACACGGGAGTTGCTTGCTAGGGGTGTTTTGAACTCTAATGATGTAATCCTGTTGGGAGGGTAACAACTGTGGATTAGTTGGGGATGCAGGATGGGGATTGCTTGTTACAGTCACTGCTGCACCTGAATGGTGTGTGTGTATTTGCAAGCAATCAGGTTACTGTCCACGACAACATTCCAAATCCTAGATAACTCGGAACAAACCTGGGCACAAGATAGCAGAGAGCGAGAGAGAGCGAGAGAGGCTCAACTGCTACTACTGGTACAAAAACACATTCACAATGGTCTATCTTATCATATACATATGCTATACACTCCGCAGTGCAGCCTGCATGTATGGGCTACTACGGTAGACGCCCTAGTAGCACGGCTGGCCTAGATCTCCCAGCTCATGCTTAGCATGGGCTAACCCTTTATTTATTTATATTAACAGCTAGAGCTTCTCGGAAGAGACAAATTCATATGGAACACTGTCGGCAGCGGAGTGTAGACGACGGGATGATCCCTGAGCTGCTGCCTCACGAAGCGAGGGGGGATAGCTTGATGCGGCGCCGGTGACGCGGATGTTCCGGGGAAGAGGACGAAGACGGGGACGATGGCGAGAGCGGGAAGGTCTCGGATGCAGATGGGGAGAGCGGAGAAGAGGGGGAGGCGGGGGAGAGGGGGGAGAGGGTGGAGGATGGAGAGTGGGGAGTGGCGGGGATGGCGGAAGAAGCAGGGGAACTGAGCCAATGGAGAGTTTTTCTCCAGGGAATGGGCTGAGATCTGGGACTTGCGCCCACCTTTGAGTCACGCTGTGCTTGTAGGGAGTTTTTTTGCGATTTCAGGAGCGGCGACAGCAGCCAATGAGATGCAGGAATGGCGGAAACAGCAGCCTGCTTCGCTTTCGTGATTGGCTGTCTTCTGACGGGTTCGCTGCTCTGGGTTACGACTCGCGTCGGTCTCCGATTAGCTGCTGGCACTCGCCCGGCGACCCAAGGATGCTGCAGAACATCCTGAATACTTGGCCGTTGGGTTGGATCCACGGTCAGCATCCGACGGATGAGATGTTTCGCCTCTTCAGATATCGACGGCCATGGTGACACCGCGAAATCCACCTCCGGAATCAGCACTCTCTTATTGGATGGGAACGACGGGAGCTTAGCTGACAGCATGGCGTACAGTAGGACTCCGAGGGACCACACGTCAGCTGTAAAGCTGTACGCTTCAGATGCAACGACCTCAGGCGCTTCGTACGGCGCGCTGCCTGCCGCGCCGCGGATCATGAAACCCTCGGGGATCTGTAACGCGAGGCCGAAGTCTCCTAAGCAAGCCTCGAGTTGCTTTTTCCCGTTATCAGATGTTCTTGTAACGAGAAGGACGTTTTCTGGCTTGATATCCCGGTGAATGATACCGTGCACGTGGCACCATCTCACAGCCTCCGCGATTTGAGAGAAAACCACAGCCGCAGCTTGCTCCGGAAGGCCTTTCGCCTTACTTACGAGCGCGAACATATCGCCAGCGTCGCATAAATCGGTTACCATGTACACGGTTTTTTCGTCTTCGAACAACGCGAGAAGCTGCAGCACGTGGCGATGCCCGCGTAGCCTCTCCATGCTCGCAACTTCGTTCCGTAACGACTCCTTGTCGTGCGTTGATAGCCGCGATTTGCGGATCTTCTTGCACGCGAGCCAGCTTCCCGACGCGACGTGCACGCAGCGCCAAACGCGGCCGAACTGACCCTCACCGATGACCTGGTCGAAAGTGAATGAGCTAAAAAGCTCCGCCGTGGGACCCGCTGACGGGAAAAGCCTCGTCATTCTTGAGATGGCTTTCGAACGGCGCTCACAGAGTGTCGACACCGCGCACTGTGTCGCGAGTCGCGGAAATCCTGTCTATTTATGGGGGCGAGTTGCTATGCAATGTGCGGCCGCGTAGAGCGAGGACGAGAGATGATGTTGCTCCAACGACGGATGAGAAGACGCAAGCTGACTTAGCGGATGAATGGTGTCAATCATTCCGTCCTGGAGACAACAGCTTTGAGTGAAGTGAAGGCTTGTGGCGGCTGAAATTTTGCGTGAGGATTGACGGGAGGAAGTGAGCTTTTGCGTGAGGATTGACGCGGATTTCACATCGCGGTAGAAATTTCCTACCAGCTGTAATGAGCGGCTCGCGGAAAAGAAACACCGCGTGGAGGAACCAAAGCGGGGAAGGGAAGGGAGGACGTGGGGGGAAGACGGAGGGGGGGGTGAGATGCCATACTGTACCGTACATGGAACCACAGCTGTGCATTAGGACGTGGACCCAAACGGGTTTGATCGCCTCAATCAGCCACGATCAATAATTTCCAGGAAGCCTGGAAGCCAAATTCAGGCAATCAGGGGCAATCAGCTGATCGCGATCAGCTGATCGCCCAACCTCGATCAGACCCGATTCTTACCCCGATCAGAGTCGATTTTCCTCGATCACAGGCAATCAATTGATTGCTTGTGATCGGGGCACCCAGCGACGCTTGCGAGCAGTTACATTGTTGCAATTACAGTGAAACGAAGATTTTCGCCAGGTGAATCCTGGTCGTCAATCTCGCTAAAAAGGTGACGAAAAAGCCACGCAAATGTATTGCGCTTGCTCAGTAGGGCGCTAACAGCCTTCTCCGAAAATCATCTCTGATCGGGCGGCTTGGGCATTACGATCACAAGCAACCCGATCAGATCCAACCCGATCAGATCAGACGCGATCAAAGTCGTTTGGGCCCACGCCCTTAAAAAAAAGTGGGTCGGTCCGGTGGATTCGCCACAGGCTGTGCAGTCCGACTTGAGATTCGATTGGGGCCATTTTGGCCGCCAGAGTGCACTAGAGACAAGTGAAGGACGAAACGATTCACCTGCATGATTTAATTCGGACTCTTGTTTGCTGTCCTAACTGGCCAATGAGGTAAACCGTTCCTTTCTCTCAAGACGAAAACGTGAGGATGTATGGTGTCACATGCAACGGAGAGCTTTTTCAACTTCAAGCTGTTGTGGCAGAAGGGCAAGTGCCCTCAGCTGTGGCATCTCTGTCAATGAGGGATGTTGGTGTGCCCATTTGACGGTGTATCTGGAAATTTCACCCTGATTATCCCGGTAGGTCTTTTGCAACGCTGTCTGCACGTTTTGATTTCAAAATGGTCCTGTGCGGGTGTTCCTGTTCAGGTAGAATTATTCTATTGCTTTTGGGATGAGTTTGTCTTAGCGGTCGGGTCCAGAATCGTAAAGGTTTTTTTCAACTCGTCGTGAAACATTCCAGACTGGTAATCTAACCAACACTTCCATAATTCGGCATCGAAGGCTGACTTTCAAGCAGAATGCTCGAAAGAAGAAACTAATTTCATAAACCCTTCCACCTTAGGAAGTATACTCCGATTGTACGCATATTTCCTCACTCCTACTTGGACTGGCAGGGTGGCCTTGGAAAAAATGGTCAGCTAGTTTGCACGTGATAAGAGACAACTTAAGATTATGAAAGATTCTTGTTGATCTCCCCTTGCGGAACAGAAACATCAAGAACTGGGCATGAAAAGGACAGCAATCGTGAGCATGGGTAGGATGAGATGGGATCGGTTGAGCTGGTATGGGATGAGATGGGATGAGATGGGAAGAGATGGGATGGGATAGGATGTGGGGATGATCAGAAATGGGGGAGACACTGGGTTTGGGGGAGGTGAGGGGGGTGAGGGAAGGGGGGGAAGAGCAGCAGCAAATGGGGTCGTTGGCGGACCTGTGGGGTGACAACGGAAAATTTGACAGCCGCTGGGTTGGAAATGCCGAGCAGCAATTGTACCCGGCAGAGGGAGTTTGATTGGAACTCAAAACCCGTTGGATGGGTTGGCGCACAACCAATCACAAGCCCCTTGCGCTTGACGAAACCAAGCCACGCTGTACCAGCACCAGCCCACCCGAGGCCGTTCTTTCCCACCTTCCAGCCTAGCTGGGCTGTTCGGGCAGTGACTGTTCCTCGAGAAGGGGAGTTGGAAGATCTGTCGGTGTAGTGACGAGGATTCGGCTGTTTCATCTTTCGTCGTCGTTTGGTCTGTCCGCCTTTGCGCTGCCAGCTTGTCATTGACATGCTTCGTCACATCTCTAGGTTCCGTACGTTCGGTCAGGTCACATTATCTATTTTTTCAAGCGCACATTGAACACCCAGGATAATCTATTTACAAACGGTATGATTTATAACCTCTTTTGCATCCACAATTAACCAAGGTGCTGCAAAGATTGCCAGTGCAGGGTTCAGGACAGATAATATGACTTATAAAATAATCCGATGTGGTGGTTTAATTCTCTACCACCTTTGAATTCTCACCTTTCTTGTCTTTCCTTTTTGGTGTGATCAAGCATTGCACGTCGTGCAGCGCTTATCTCCAGAATGGTAATACACTGCACATAGATGTTAGTGCATCCAATGTTCTTTTGACAAGATGATCAAGAGGATGATAGTAGATAGCATGATTAGTATGCTTCATTGACATCAAGATGCACACTGCTACTGCCACGAGCCAGGCGCCCTAGTAACAGACGCAGGCGAGAAAAGGTTCCTAACGTAGCGCGAACACGAGGAGGTGACAGCTGGCATCAATGGCATCTTGGGCCTGGAATTTGCAGCACTGTTATTGGAAGAAACGCTCTGCTGGGGAAGTTCACTGGTAGATGAACTTGCCGAAAAAACGGGTAACTCGGGAGAAGGCTGAGGGCAGAAGGTAGGAGTCAGCTCACACTCATCCGCATCATCATCATCATCATAAAACGAGTCGCTTGTTGCTGGGCTAGGCGGAATGACGATGTGAGGACGAGGGCACGGCGGGCAGTTGGCCGCTTGCTGCCCTGAATGCCCAGAAGCATTGAGGTCTGGTGAGGGGAGATCCAAAGCAAGTCCCAGAACAGCAAGGTCTGCAGCAGGAGAATGGGCAACATCAGAGACCGACCGGCGGTGCCAGGCCCTGATCCTCCCCCTGCTGCTGCTGCGGCCGCTGCCGCTGGTGCTGGTGCTGCTGGGCAGGGTTCGTTCATTCAAAGAGGCGTTGCCGCGCTTAGCCAGGCTCCTCCCTGACTTAGGCTTACCAGCCGGCTTAGCAGACGAGACATCTGCCGCTGATCCTTGAACCGCGGGAGCCTTAGGGAGGGCAGCAGTGGCTCCTGTGCGCGTCTTGCCGCGCGGAGACGGGGAAGCCGCCTTGGGGGTCCGGGGGGTGGACGGCTGAAGGGGAATCCCCTGAGGGGGGCAAGAGCGGGGCGATGGAGATGCTGCCGTGGATGATGCCTGGGGCCCGGAAGGAAAAGCCTTGGGGGTGGAGGGCTGAAGGGGGAACCCTTCCGGGGGGCAAGAGCGGGGCGATGGCGACGCGGATGCGCGGTGGAATGGGGGCAGCTTGGGAGGCTGGAGAGGCAGCGAGCAGAGGGCCTGGGCAGAAGCGGACTGCCTGAGTGGCTGCCTGGGCGACGGCGCTCTGGGAGACAAACGGGAGACGGCAGCGGACGGCGCTCTGGGCTCCTTGCTCTTGTTGTTGAACGCCACTTCCCGCTTCAACCTCACTGGCCGGCTGCTGCTGCCGCTGCCGCTGCAGCTGCCGTTGCTATGGTCGGTACCTCTTCGGGATGAGTCGCGGCGCGGCGTCTCGTCTGACGGAGACCCCGATGTCGGCGATCGCTGCGACCGCGGCCGACGCGGCGAGGTCGCCCAGCACGCAATTGCGGCGGATGCGGCGCTGCAACTTGCTGCTTCTGCGCCGCGCTGGTCGGCTTCCGCAGCGCGAAGGACGGGCTCGGAAAGGTCCGCGCAACCAGCTTCCGCGCGACGATCTTCCGCGCGACGATCTTCCGCGCGACCAGCTTCCGCGTCGCTCTCACCCCATTCGTCGAAGCTGGCGTGCCTCGGAACCCCTGCGCCGCTCGGCTTGGAATCACCCGCGACGCGCGGCGCCTCTGAGTGCCGCGTCAACTCCACGTCCGCCGTGGACTCGGATTGTGAAGAGCTGCCGTTTCGGCGCGCTTTGGATGACTCATTCGACGCGACCCGGGGCGATTGCGGATGGACCGCCGCGGCTTCGGGTAGGAAATCGAGCGTCGGAGCTTCCGTGGGCGGAAAAAACGGCGCCTTGGGAGCGCTGGATTGGTGCGATGGTTTCGATTCGCGCGGCGCTCTTCTCAACTCGTTACGAGACGATGCGATTCGGAGCCACGGGTGAGCCAACACGCCGTCGATATCCAGCCGTTGGCTCGGGTCCACGGTCAGCATCCGACGGATGAGATCTTTCGCCTCAATCGACACGGACGGCCACGGCGCGACGGAAAAATCGACCTCGGGCAGAAACTTGCGCACGTTTCCGGGAAAAGAGGGCCATTTAGCGGAGATAGTTGCGTACAGAAGCACGCCGAGCGACCACACGTCCGCGCCGAAGCTGTAGAGATCTCCCGCCAGAACTTCCGGCGCCTCGTACGGCGCGCTGCCGACGGTGCCGCGCAGAGAGAAGCCCCTCGGGATCTCCATCGCGAGGCCGAAATCCGCGAGGCGCGCCTCGAGCCGAACGTTTGTGTCTGGCGAGTCTCGAACAGGCGACGCGGCGATGCTGGTGGCGGCGGTGGCAGTCGTGGCGCGCGTTGTGATGAGAACGTTCTCGGGTTTGACGTCGCGATGCGCGATTCTATTCACGTGGCACCATCTCACGGCGTCGGCGACCTGCGCGAAGATCATCGCAGCCGCCCGTTCGGGAATGCCGCCGGTTTGCACGATCAGGCTGAAAATGTCGCCGCCGTCGCACAATTCAGTCAGAATGTAGACGGATTTCTCGTCTTCGTACAGACCGAGGAGGGGGAGCACGTTGCGGTGGCCTTGAAGGGCTTCCATGGCGGAAATTTCGCGCTCGAGCGACTCGAGCTCGTTTTGCGTGAGGTGAGCCTTGCGGATCTGTTTGCAGGCTAGAGGAGCGCCCGTTGCGCAATCGACGCAGCGCCAAACGCGGCCGAATTGCCCCTCGCCGACGACGCCAGTGAAGGAGAAGGCTTCGAAGAGCTCGGCTGATGTACGCGCTGATGGAAAGAGACGGTCCGCCATTGCATGTGTTTCTTAATGACAAAAAAAAAATATTAAAAAGAATCTAGAATGCTTGGGTAGTAGGGGCTAATGCGAATCGATGATGTGATGAGATTGCTCCTTGCTGCTGCAGCCCCACATGCGCGCAATGCTCGGCTTCTGTGGGAGAGCCGCAGAAATGACTGTCGCAAATTGGTGAGTGAGATGAGTATAAATGGTATCCTCACGATGCTTATGTATATGGTGAGAGAAAGGGGAGCCTTTTCGGGAACAACGCGGAGAGATGGGCTGCGATGCGATGTGTGGTGAGCGGGACGCGTGAAAATTTCCCGCGGTGTGGGATTGTAAGGGGAGGTATGAGAGACACGGCGGAAAGCGCGGGAAGTGGTTCGGGGGAGCGTGGTGAATGGTCACTGTCACTGAAGGTCATGAATCGACGAGGGGAGAGTGATGCGGAGCGGAGGAGGGGGAGGGGAAAGGCTGGTCCGGTCTGGTCTGGAATCTGGTTCGGGAGTAGATTCGACTCACAGCGGACCGCAGTTTCTAACCGCTGATCAAGACCGACGCGACGACAATGGTTGGGAAATCAAGAATGCAACCTGAACAGAAAAAAGTGTTGCACGACACGTTACTGCTAAGGGGTTGCACGATTCCTTTGCGATGTAACTGAGGGGGTGCACACCACAAATGGCTCTTCGCAAAAACTTTCGGGGCGTCCGAAATTATGAACAGAGCACAATAACATGTTATTTGGGTATTTTTCTTGGCACAGCTGCGATGGCGGACAACATAGAGGACATTTATCTGCGTATAGATGTTTTTTTACGCTTTCTACTGGATTACAATAGAAAACAACAAAGCAGTGAAATGGAATCATGTGCTGACTTCTCTTCCTGATTTTTGAGCTTTTGACTCTTGTTCGATTGGCTGATATGTCGACCGACTGCCAGCTGTAATCCTGGATCTGTTGAGCACGACAAGAACACCAAGTTCAAAGATTGGGCACCTGTCGAAAGGGCAGCAGTCAAGGAGCAGGTGTGGAAAACGACGGTAAGAAACCACCATGACAACCCACACAACATGCACGAGCCAATGAAGAAACGACAACACAATCCGTTAGAAGCGCAATCTACTGTGTCTCTTGACCATGGTTTGACTGCACTAAGAGATGAATCAATCTAAGTATTCAAGCTTGGGGTATTTCTAGTGATATTCATACATTAGGGCCTAGGCCCTAGTCGAAGCCCAATAAAGTGTATGGCTCTTCTCAAACTCCTTTCACATTATTATTACGGTACCAAGTTCTATGTACTTTATCAAGACGGTTTTTCGTATTCCAAATGAAGACCATCACCTTTAATGGGCTTATATATGTTGCGAATAGTAATATTTGATATTACTGTGCACTCCTCACCGCAGCAAAGAGAAGCACGCAGTAACGAGAATGAACGCGAACCGTCAGACGGTTGGAATTGACTCGAAGCGACGGACAGTTGGAACGCATCTGGACCGTCGGAAGCAGACGGCATCGGGCAGCTGCAGGCAGGATGGTTTTGGCGGGAACAGTTACGAAACTGTACGCGCCGCACGGTTGGGAGTGAATTTGAATAAGGGAATGCACCCCTTAGAGTGCATGGCTTGTCAGAATCTAGCAGCAGGAATGGATGAACTAGCAGCATGCAGGAGTACAAGTAGTAAACCCTAATTGGGCTGTACCCCATATGGGCTACCCCACTACAGCCTAGACAATATGCAGCATATATGTTTGACACACCCCCATAGGCAAAGTGGGGGAGAACAAGGGGTCAAACGACCAGTCAAGAGAAGCAAAGCAAGCTCAGGGTGGATCTCAACGTCACCACACATTCTGAGCACAAGCAAAGGGCCACAAGGCCAGTCCACATGCAGAGATATATATGCAACAATAACAGTACAGTGATGACTACCTAGCAAGAGCAGGCATGCATGTATATATATAGATCACAGTACAAGCAGAGACTACAGCAAGTGTGGAAACGTAGGCACAAGGCCTAACAGGGTACAAAAGCGCTGATGATCACAAGACGGAAGTGCCTTGGTGAATATATCAGCAGTGTTGGCCCGAGTGGCCACGTGACGAAGACGAAGCTGGCCTCGCTGCTGCAACTCTCGAGCCAGGAAGTAACGCAGAGCAATGTGCTTCGTTCTGTGCTCCAGTCTGTGCTCCTCACACAAGGCAATGGCGGCCTTGTTGTCGACGTACAGCACTGGAGGAGAACGAGGCTGCTCTCCCAAGTCAGTCAGCAGGTAGGTGAGCCAGCGTAACTCCAGTGCAGCCATGACTGTGGCGTAGATCTCAGCCTCACAACTGGAGCTGAGAACTGAAGACGAGCGTGTAGAACGCCACGAAACTGAACTAGAGCCAAGGCTGAAGGTGTAACCCTGTGACGACCGCTGAGTAGCCAGGTCGTCAACCCAAGAAGCGTCTGAGTGCCCAGTGAGGACAACTGGGCTCGTCCCTCCAAGCACTAGCCCCATGCCTGATGTGCTGCACAAGTAGCGCAGTACCCTCTTAGCAGCAGCCATGTGCTCAGGTCGGTGCCGACCAGGAGCCACGTAGCGAGCCAGAAGACCAAGAGGGTACGCGAGGTCAGGTCGAGTGCAAGTCATCAGGTACATGAGGCAGCCGACTAGCTCTGGGTAAGGACCACTCGGCTCTACGGACTCGTCCGAAGGTGGAGCTGAGAGCGTGTGACCTGTAGCCAGAGGAGTGGCCTGTGCTGAAGACCAGGTGAAGCCGAAGCGCTGAAGGACCTGCTGCACCATGTGTGACTGAGTCAAGGTGATGGTGCGGCGTGCTCTGTCCCGGGTGATCTGCAAGCCAAGGTAGCTGCGCAGCTCACCCAAGTCTGTGCACGTGTGTCTCTTCTGCAGCTCCGACTTCACGTGGGCAAGAGCCTCAGTGTCAGCAGTGGCAAAAACCAAGTCGTCGACGTACACGAGGATGTAGAACGGCGGCAGTGAAGTGTCGGTGCGTAGAAACAGCGACGGGTCAGCAGTAGAAGGCGCGAACCCAAGAGCCGCAAGCGTAGTCCTCAGTGTGTCGTGCCACTCACGTGGCGCCTGGCGGAGACCGTAGACCGGCCGCCGGAGGCTCCACTGGGTACTAGGAGGGAACGACCCAGTGAAGCCCGGGGGGCGGCGCAGCCAGATCTCCTCGTGCAGGCTGCCCTGCAAGAAAGCTGTGCTGAAGTCAAGAGAGTGAAGCTCGTAGTCACGGTGAGCAGCAACATGCAGCAGCACCCGAAGAGTGGTCATCTTCGGGGTGGAGGAGAAGGTCTGGAAGAAGTCAACTCCCTCTCGCTGACTGAAGCGTCGAGCCACGTAACGCGCATTGAAGACAGGCGGAGAACCCGGCGGCCGCTTCACCCTGAAAATCCACATGCCACTGACGATGTTCGCCCCAGGTGGGGGAACCTCGTCAACGTAGGTGCCTGTGGACTTCCAGGAAGCCATCTCTGCGTCCATGGCTGCCTGCCACTGAGAGGAGTAGGGACCCTCTATCGCCTCTGCGTAAGAGCGCGGAGTCGGGATGTCTGGTGCATCCGGGTCTCCCTCAGGGGCAAGTAGCGAGGACACAAGATGAGGTAAAGCAGCAGCAAGACACTGGAACTCCTCCTGCCTGTCCTCAAGGACGTCCGTGCTAAGAGCACACTCACCCCCGACGGACGGAGGACAGACAGACTCAGACCCAGCAACAAGACTAGCGGCGTAGTCTAGACGACAGGCAGCAGCAAAGTCAACAAGCTCAGCGACCAAGGCAGACGCAGCAGTAGACTCAAACGACGGGTCAGTGACAACAGTGGCTAAGAGACGCGTGACAGTAGGGTGCTCAGTACGAAACCGGTCAGACTCAGGGTCCGGAACGGCAGGCAGAGAGGACGCAGGGGGAGACGGCAGAGGAACAGGCTGCGGAGCAGAGGAAGGACGACGGACAACAAGGTGTGCGCTGGGGACAGCCGGCTGACGCGCACGAGCGACACGACGAACGGTACGACCAGAACGAACAGGCGAGACAGGACGCGACGCAGGCTCACGACGCGTAGCAGGACTGCCTGTCGGCTCAGTGTAAGGAGAGGGAGCAGGTAGCGGTGAGCCAGTCTGTAACGGAAGACCAGTAGACGACGGGAGAGTAACAACCTGACGAAGAGCAGAGTCAGGCGGCGGCAGAGACGACGGAGACGGCGGAGCGAAGAACAGTCGTGTCGGCGCAGCTGCACCAGTACCGGCAGCTCCAGCAGCTCCAGTGCCTCCAGCAGCTCCAGTACCTCCAGCAGCTCCCGTACCTCCAGCAGCTCCAGAAGCTCCAGTCCCAGAGCCGACACCCCCAGTCCCAGGGTCTCCAACCTCTGTGTCTCCAGCAGCAGCACCCCCAGACCCAGCACCTCCAGTCCCAGGGTCTCCAGCCTCAGTGTCTCCAGCAGCAGCACCCCCAGAACCAGCACCTCCAGTCCCAGGGTCTCCAGCCTCAGTGTCTCCAGCACGAGCACCTCCAGAACCAGCGACTCCAGCACCTCCAGTAGACAAAGGACCAGCACCACTCCTAGCTCCAGCAGCGCGACGCTGACGGCGACCGTACCAGTCCTGCAGCTGCTGTGGGGTGAGAGGCACACGTGGACGAAGGCGGCTACTCCAAGGAGACCGCGCAACAGCAGACTCAGAACCCTCAGCGCCCGCACCCCCAACGGCTCCAGAACCTCCGGTGTCAGTACCCTCAGCACCAGTACCTCCAGCGGCTCCAGAACCTCCAGCACGAGCACCCTCAGCAGCTCCAGAACCTCCAGCTCCAGCGCCACCAGTACTAGGCCCTCCAGCAGCTCCCGAACCTCCAGCGCCAGCACCCTCAGTAGCTCCAGAACCTCCAGCGTCAGTACCGCCAAGCTCAGCACCCCCAGACCCCTCACACTCAGGCTCAGCACCACCAGGCTCCACACCCTCAAGCTCCGCACCCTCAGGCTCAGCACCCCCAGGCTCTGCACCCC